CACTTGATAGGAAAGAAGGCAAACCTTGGTACCGGAGAGGAGGACTTTGACATGAAGAAAGGCTTCATCGATAGTGAGGCTGAGGAGGGTTTGGAGAGGAGTTTGGATAGGATCCCCTCTGCTGAAATTATCCTTGCTGGAGACGCATCGACTGTACATGAGTCAGCCATCTTGCCCGACAAGGAGCCGTCAGCCATCTTCTTGCCTGCGAAAGTACAGTCTCCTAGTACTCCGAATAGTAAGAGACCTTATTCAAAAGTTCCCAACGCGGCTGTATTCAATGAGTATTTGATTAGCCAGCAACAAAGAGACAAAGAAAATCGTGAGATGGCTTTACAGCAGTCCAAGATTGCAAAGGAGCACTYVCAAATAGCAAAAGAGGCAACCCAAATTGCTAAAGAGACCAATCAGATGTGGAAGGAAGCTCTCGGAATGGCAATGGCCTGCTTTCAGCAGTGGCAAAGTGGAAACAACACTCACCAGTCGATCAGCAACACTCACCAATCGATCAGCAAACTCCCCCGTAAAAAAATGGAGGCAATTCCCATGGTGACAAGGAATAACTTGTTCCATAGTGGAGCAAACACATCAACAAGCTCCCTGAAGACCTTGTGGTCGACGCCACAGCAGTTTAGGAGAGCTTGGTCATCCCCTGAGTGGAACAAGTACAGGAAAGAGGAATTAGCATATCTCCTGATTGCAATTCTTGGTGTTCTCCTGTCCCTCCTACGACGCTCCTCAGGAGACAGCTTTTGCTTGTAACTTTGGTTATTCAGATGAATSTACCAGTACATCGTGATCACTTCCACTACTCCCATTGTCAATGTTCGATGTTGCCTTTTGTTTTGCTGGAAGGAAACTGTTGTCTTTTAGTGTGTTTGTCAACTCACAGGCTACTAATTAGCGTAAAACATGAATTCATTTCCTGGTATCAAATCGGAAATAATAAGCAGCAGAAACTGTGTTCATGTTTTACTCTAGTGAGAGTACTGTGTCGGAATAGCCTAAATCAAGCTGAAAATGAGTGAATTGATTTACTCTAGTTGAGTATCGAAATTTTCATGTTTTACTTTGAACCATGGCGCGCGTTCTGAGTCTTTTTAGTCATTACGTTGAAAAATAATTAGGATTCCAAATTCCGTAAAAGACTGGCATCGTGCTGGCATCCTCTCAGTCTGTCCGTTGGTTCTCTTGATTCCCGTTACTCCAGATCCCTAGATTTAGAGTTTTAGAGATCTAGAGTAACGGGAATCACCCAATTCCTCTCCAGAACAATGACCAGTACTGTACGGTACAAGTTGTACTCGTACAGGTACGTACGTGTTTCCCATGCTATGAAAGAATAGAATTCTTCTCAATCTGTCGGATACTGAATGCGACGCCACAGTTATATCACAAACCGAAATGCTGTAACCGTTGAGCAGCTCAACATTTCCATGTAACCACGCGCGCTTGGTTACTGCGCGGATACAAAAAACTAACACTAACAAACACTAGTTATTTTTTGCTTAAATACATGCACCTCAACAAGTTACAAGCGCGCGGATTGAGTTTTTGTAACCAGAAATTGTAACCAAACCCTTTCCTAAGGAGAGCCCATATTTTCACCACGATAACGCTAGTAGTGTGGTTACAAAAAAACCGGGTCTGGTTACAAAAACAGGCGCACTGGTTCCCTTGCGCGCGCTTGTAACCAGCACCATGCACCTCGACAGGTACAAACTAAATACTGTCTTCACTAAATTAGTACTAAAAAATGCGAGCAGTTTTCAGTGAAAAACTGATCTTGATTGCTATTCCAGTACAAGCTCGTGTAGAAAACACCGTAGAAATATTGATTTGCAGGGGGGAACAAGCAAAATCGTATCAGCAACTCGTATCACCAGTGTCCTCTGTATCGTATCAGCATCCTCCGTATCAGTGTCCTCCGTATCGTATCAGCGGCTCCTCCGTATGATAGTAGCGGACGCCGTATCAGTGAGCATCCTCCGTATCGTATCAGCGGTTTGCTCCTCCGTATCGTATCAGCGCCCTCCGTATCAGCAACTCGTATCAGTGTCCTCTGTATCAGCGTCCTCCGTATCGGATCAGCGTCTCCTCCGTATCGGATCAGCGTCCTCCGTATCAGTGAGCATCCTCCGTATCAGCATCCTCCGTACTATCATCGAGCCTCCGTAAAGCAGTAACCAAGCGCCGTGGTTACATGGAAATGTTGAGCTGCTCAACGGTTACGTAAATATCTGTGGAAGAGCTCTGCTTCAGCGCAACAAGTACTATCTTCAGCAACACCAACAACAAGAAGCTCTCGAGCTTCTTGTTGTTGGTGTTGCTGAAGATAGTACTTGCAGTAACATCACTTCGATCTCGAGCTAAAGCTCTCGATCTCAGTGATGTCACTGTGTGTACCATAAATGTAACCAGAATTTTGTACCTTGGCGGAAAATTTTTGTACCATGCGCTCTCTCGAGCTAAAGCTCTCGAGCGTACAGGGCAAGACACAGGACAGACCACGGTGGACGCGTGTGGATACCCACGCGAGGCCCNGCGTCCGTTCGATTCGGCGTAGTCCACGGCTATCTTCAGGGCCTGTTCGGTTTGCTCGTCCGAAAGCAGCGATCGAATATGGATTTGATGGAGCGYCGACAGCTGGGGTCCATCGGGAGCGAACGAGGGCAGCGTTATCGTTGTTTCGGTAGTTTCTACCACCCCTGCTTCGGATACCGATGCGGAGGCTTCTACAGCAGACAGCAGTGTGCCGKAGGCACCTTTCTGTTGATCGTTATCGACAATGACAACACGGGGTACTATCGGACAAAAGCACTCAAGGGTGTCCAGAAAGAGCGCGAGCCACATGAGCAGTACTAGCATTGTTCTCCGTTGTGGCGATCTCGGCAGAGACGGTGTGTGAATCATGCGCATTTTGTGTTCGCTTGTACGAGTATTGACAACTGCAAACACCGTGCCGCGTGTTCCAAATGTTTGATTATGGATTSTTCAATTKTGATTTCTCTAGATTTCTGTTGCAGGAAGAGTAACTCGTAGCACCTAGTACGCCTGTTGCAGCACCATCGAAGTGAGATGCTCGTCGTTTCGAAACAACCCCCCACTACAAGTGCTCGTACTTGTACGTTTCTGTAGCGTTTCTGTCGTTTTGATTGATGGCTGGTCGTAAAAAATAATGAATGGTCGCATCAACGGGAATGAATCAATCGAGTCAATTTGTTGATTGTTGATCAAAATCAAAACACCGACATTCTTGGAACAATTCCTCTCCAGAACAATGACCAGTATGGTACAATTACTCGTACGTACGTACGTGTTTCCCATGCTATGAAAGAATAGAATTCTTCTCGATCTGCCGGATACTGAATGAATACTGAATGAACCGAATGCGGTACAAGTTGAGTACGTAATCAACTGGTACTGTACGTACGAGTATTGAGTATCCGATGAAATACATGAGTCAAGTTTGTGTCGGTACCGGGGCATTTGATCATTTCAAGAATACTGGAGTCTCGCATTCACAAACAAACCAATTTCATCCCACGGACAAGAACCTGCCTCTCACTAAAGGAATACCCGATACGGTTGACGAACACGACATACTGCGAAACAAAAATGACTAGCGAAGAAGAAAAGAGCACCAACAATAACAACCACAACGAAAGCTTCGAGATACACGAGTGCTTCGGCAAAGACATCATCGATCGGTACGACGGGTTCATCCTGGATCAATTCGGTGTGCTGCACAACGGTGCCCACGGATTGGAGGGCGCACCGGAGCTCGTTCAGAAACTAGCGGGGGACTACAACAAGAAACTCGTCATCCTSTCGAACTCATCGTCGTCGTCGGAATCGTGCAAGGCGAAACTGCCGAAACTGGGCTTTGATCCCAAAAACTTTTGCAACGCGGTCACCAGCGGAGAAGAAGCCGGGAAGTATATCCGCGACCAATACGCGGGCACGACGACCCCCGAGGGCGCTATGAAAAAGGCCCTTTGGTTTACCTGGAAGACGAAATCGTCGCTCTCCCCCCTGCGGTTTCTTGAGCTGTGCGGGAACATTCCGGTGACGACCGATCCTAGCGAAGCGGACTATGTTGTGCTCCACGGGGTGGACCTCCTTAGGGGGCCGGGAGCCGATGGAGAAGCGGAGGAAGTGTCGCTCGGAGATTTTTTCGAAACCGGGAAACTGGACGGCGGGAGCGAGAGCGAGAGCGGTGACTCTCCGGCGACAACGACCATCGAGTCCATACTGCAGGCCTGCGCCAAGCGCGGCCTTCCMATGGTGTGCGCAAACCCCGACTTTATCATGGTCAAACCCGACGGATCGACCGGATACATGCCTGGAACCATCGCGAGGCGATACACCGAGCTGGGGGGTTCCTGCGTCGAGTTTGGAAAGCCCCATGCATCCCACTTCGAGGCCTGCCTCCGGGACCTAGGACTGCCACGGGAAAAGGTCGCCCACGTCGGCGATTCCCTGCACCACGACATCAAGGGCGCGAACGACTCCCGGGTCGATAGCGTCTTTGTGGCGGGAGGGGTGCACCGGACCGAGCTGGGGAGCGCGCTGAACGAGGTTCCGAGCAGGGATGCCCTGGACGCCCTCTTCGAGAAACACGCCCTTATGCCGACGCACGTGGTGCCAATGTTTCGGATGGAATAAGGCAAGCAAGAAACGCACCGATGCTACAACGTAATTGTTTCATCAATTCCACGACAAAGGCTCTAGTGGTGTGCTCCAACATCGTGAATGGATGCCAACTASAACGACAACAGAAACACACGCATTCTATATGGTGCAAAATGCCGGAGATTTTACTATCGCTGCTTTGGTAAATTAATCRTAAAGAGTAGTTTACAAATAATATCTAAATTCTTCGAACTATTAAATTCCAGAAATAATAATTGAAATAATTTATGCTTGTTGCTTGGAAGCCAAAGGACCCAAGAACTTGGCCTTCTCTTCGGCGGTTTGGAATCGTCCGTGTCCGAGCTTGGAGGAGGTATCGATGAACTTGAGGTCGATGTTCTCCAAGTGCTTGCGGGAAGTGTGCTTCATCATGGACTTACGAAGGACCAAAGGTCGCTTCTTGACTCCGACGACGGCTCCCTTGAGCATGAGCCAGTCCTCGTTGACCTCRCCATAGTGGACGAATCCTCCCATAGGGGTGACTCCCTTCTCGGTCAAATCGGCTTCGGTTTGGCAACTGGCCTTGTCGTCCTTCTTTCCGATGCGGTAGACCTTCTTGTTGAGCTCGGTACGGTGGAAGTATCCGTTTTGACCGGCACGTGCAACCGTGGTGGAAACACGGGCAGGGTGCCACGATCCGATACAGGCGACCTTTCTCAAACCTCTGTGGGTCTTACGGGGAAGACGGGTGACACCCCAACGGGTGGTAACRCCTTCGTAACCACGACCCTTGGTGACTCCGAKGACATCGATGTTTTCGTCCTTGTTGAAGACAGAGTCGACGGTGATCTCCTTTTCGAAAAGACCCTTGGCAAAGGCAACCTTGGCGGCGGCATCTCCTCCGTTAACCTGGATTTCCATGATGTGGGCCTTCTTCAATCGAAGGTTGAGCTTCTTGACCTGRGTGTGAGCGATGACACGGACGACGGAGCAGAACTTGCTGATGCGCTCGAGTTCGGCTTCGATGTCCTTGCCTCCGTCTTCGGTGTACTTCTTGGCGTACTTGGTGAAGGCCTTCTTCTTGGCACGGTACCAGTTCTTGTACATGCGACGCTTGAATTCTTCGTTCAAGTGCTCGGCGAAGACGGTGGTGAGGGTTCGAAGTCCCTGGGGGGTCTCGACGTATCCGACRACTCCAACAACAACCATGGGAGGGGTTTCGACGACGGTAACGGCGTCAACGACCTCACGCTTGTGCATGAGGGCACCAGGTCGGTCGACTCCACGAACAACGTGGGTCATACCGGCCTTGTATCCACGGAAGGCGGTCAAGTGAGGGGAATCACTGGAATCGTCCTTAGGGAAGGATCGGATCTTACCAGAATGCTTCTTGGTACGCTTCTTGGGCAAGAAACCCAAGTTACCCTTTCGGGGTGCTTCGAACTTTCTGTGGGACCTATAGTCGGAAGCCGATTGCAGAATGGGTGCGAATAMAGAGAGGCATCGTGAGTAAAATTGTTCATGGTTCGTAATMGTTCCAACCGTTTCCCTCCGAAGGAGACAGAGCCGATTTCTCGAGTTCTGSCGCGCGATGAMACCGGGGAATGCTSCATCTCTTCCATCGTTGCTCCTCTCTACCAAAGCATCGTTATATCCTATTTATTTCCTATTGTCAACTGAAGTCAAGACACCATGGTGATACTTACATGGTGGAGGGGGGTTCGTTGGTAAGTTGAGGGGGTGTGAGGTTGAACTGTTGAGTACCCGGACAACAAGTAATTCACGGTATTTCGACCTACTCTTCCTGCTCGCAAAATTTGAAGCTCTGTGGTCCAAATTTCATTTACCACTTACTTACCTGTTCGGCAGCGAGGTCTGGTCGTCGTCGATGATTGTGATTAGTGATGAGGCTTTCTTTCTAATATTCTGCTACTACTCTGTAATCATCCAATGTTAGTCGAATGGGTCGTTTCGCGCTAGGTTATCTAGGGTCGCGCGAAAAGACAACCGAATTTAAATGATGACAATTCATGAGCTAAAACCATCTTCGTAAGGACTCCGAGTCAGTCAGTCRTGAAAGATGAGAATTGGGTCTCTTCTGTAATCCGAATCCTTTTTGCATGTCTCGACGTGTTGTTCCATTCACTTACTACGGCACGGGACATGAACGAAACAATGAAAATGGCGAAACAAGTCACAATCTATCGAAGAAAGAGGAAGGMAACCGCTGATATGAGGACTAGCAACAGAATCTCCTTCGCTGCTGCCGTCGCGGTGGGGTTGTTTTCCGTAGCCTCGACCGCATTTCAGCCACCAACAAAGMTTGCATCTGACTCGAATCCGTTTTTGTCGTGCRCGGACACCGTTGAGACCCGCCTTTTCGAGTCTCTGGAAGATGCAGTAGTAGAATTACCCACGACGAAGACTGAAAATACAGAGATTGCWAATATTAAATCGAATYTAYTCCAGCTAGCCGAACGCACGAAACGAGGCTTCAATGCGTCGGCCGACGACAAACGGAAGGCAAAAGAACTTGTTGAGTCTCTCCAACGCCTCGGATCCGTTCCCGATCCAGCGAGTAGCTACTACGATCCTTCGGCAACATCATCGGTGACGGCCGGTGCGAYAGAGAGCAAAGGCCCTAGCAGCACCATTTCCGGAAAATGGACACTGATTTATACAGACGCTCCCGACATAACCGGATTGGACACAAGCCGGAACCCGTTCAGCACCGCCAAGCTCGGACGGATCGGTCAGGAATGCAATCCTCCCTACATCAAGAACGTTATCGAGTGGTTGCGACCAGACTGGGCAAAGCCGCTGCCCTTTTCTGGTTCGGATGACTCTCGGATCTTGCAAAAGGTSGTTACCACAGGGTCTGCGACACCGGCCAAGCCAACCTTTGTAGAACTGAAAGTGGCGGGGCTCGAACTCGAAGCCGGTGCCAACGAAGTTACCACCAATGACAATAATGACAACAGCGGGAACGACAAAAATAATTTGGTASAGAACATACAGAGCAGCGGGCTACCGGCTGGGATTCTTTCGGCGAATCCGATCGATCTCAAAGGTCCATTGAATCCTCCATTCGGAAGATTCGAAATTTTATACTTGGACGACGAGCTGCGGGCGATACGAACAAGCCAAAACTTTCTAGCCGTRAATCGTCGAATCGCCAGTAAAGAAGACGAGTGGTTCTAACGAGAAGCTCCAGGTGCTCRATTAAACCTATTACATGCAAGCAGAAACTAGATTTTATYTTYAAATCATACYGTACGGATGTTGTTCTCTCCAAATTTAGATGATACAGAAAACCTTTTTCATCTTCACAACGAGTCTCCAGTCTTCCTTTTCCAGTGCATCCTTGAAGTTGAGYTTGAGTGCATCAATGGACGCTCTCGTGAGGGTAGAGTAAAGGCTGTGGGAAGAGTCAAATTGACGGCCGTATGTTATGTTTGGGTTGCTTTCGTTCACAATCTTAATGGCCACCGATTGCCCTTTTCGCGCAGTGTTCTGTTCTTTCCCGTTCATCTCAATCGATGTAACTTTCCCAACGTGAAGGCCGCCGATCGCTGGAACGCAAAGAGGGGTTCCGATCTTGAGAATACCCTCCACAACTTCAACACCAACAATGATGGGATCCTTCTGATTGAAGACGTGCTGTGGAAGGATCTTGATGATGCTTGGGAAGACGGCAACCGCAGCGGCTTCTTCGCGCCTCTTGGCAGTAAGCTCGTCCATAAATCTCGTAAATTGGTCAAACAAATGGTAGATGATATCCGCTGTCATAATACGAACACCCATCTCGGCAGCGTGCTCCCTCGCTTCCTTTTCAATGTCACAATCAAACGCTAAGATTGTTGCATATTCCGGATGTCCCTTTTCGTTCATGATMGAGATCTTTGTCACATCGCGCTTGTGAATGGTACCAATACCAATAGCGCTTACGGGGATAGGAGGATCGGTATCCACGCGAAGAAATTGGAGCAGTGCCTCCAGCGCACCCAGAGTTGAGGCCTGAACCAGTACACCAACTCTGTCGGTACTAAGATGCGATTCTAGATTTGCTAAATCACTCATGACCTCAGCCTTAATATCTTCTACTTCGTCATTGGGACCAACGACCTTATCATTGATTGAAGTTTATCGAAACGCATGCCATTCGCGTTAGAATTTCAATTTCTCGAAGAGTATTCTCGATGCGAGWACTCCAAACAAAGCAGACAAACTCTCACATTACCAATTACACACTTACCATGACGGGTGTMCCAGCCATTACTTTGTCAAGGTTGTTTCCAATTACTTTTACACCAATAGCACCCTTAATCTCCTTGTGATGGATGTAGTCGGATTTGATTCGCATTTCTCTGCTGGGTGGTGGCGTTAAGAGACCACGAATTTCCGTTACAATTGGTCCATCAAGAGTACAGAAGACTGCCTTGTCTCCTTCTCTCAAATATCCGTTCACCACAAGAACATCGACGGTCATTCCCAAACCWTCGATCGCCTTGACCTCGAGTACGGTGGCTTCGAGATTWGCGCACCACATAATGCTTTCCCAAATCTTGCGCTGGGCCATCTGGCACAAAAGCATGAGGATGTCTTGCACACCCTCTCCGGTAATTGCAGAAGTTGGAACCAATGGGATAAAATCAGAATTGCTCCAATCGTCGTCTCCCATTTCCCAGTATAAATTCGAGTTGACTCCTTGTTCCGCGAGTTGGAGTTTTGCGTCGGCGGCACGGCTGCGAAATTCAGAAATGGTCCCCTCTTCCTGATCCTTGAGTGCGTCACGGATAGGGGTGTCTTTGCAAGTCTTCCAGTTGTAGCATCTGTCGATTTTGTTCAGGGCGACTACAAAAGGAACATTTTTCTTACGAAGCATGTTCAAACTTTCTATTGTTTGTTGTTCCAGACCGTGCATCAGATCCACCACCAAAATGGCAACATCACACAGTGACGAACCTCGAGAACGCAGGTTGGCAAAAGATTCGTGACCCGGGGTATCAATGATAAGCATTCCAGGAACTTTAATGTCGAATTTTTCAGTMGCGTTGAGTTTTTGGGTTTGGGCTTCGAGGGTCTTCTTTTCAAAGTAGGTGGCACCAATTTGTTGCGTGATTCCTCCTGCTTCTCCTTCCTGGACATTTGTCCTGCGGATTTTGTCCAGAAGTTTCGTCTTTCCGGTATCTACGTGACCCATAATGACGGTAATCGGACAACGGAGGTTGTCGGGCGAACGAGCAGCCAGATTTGCCTTCTCTTCTTCCTCTCTCTTTTTCTTTCCTTCTTGACGTTTCTGTTCCTTGAGCAATTCGGCTCTTTCTGCGGCATCTGCCTGCTTTTYCAGCTCAGCAAGTCTCAGCTCTTCTTTGCGCTCTTGTTCTGCACGCTTTCTTCCGAGTTCGGCAAGGCGTTTCTGCTCCTGTTTCTTTTCCAACTCAATCAGATCAACGTTGTCATCTTCGATCACAACCTTTTCAAGGCGGGCATCCAGGTCGGCGAAYTTGTCATCGTCKTCGCTGTCGCTGTCAGCATCCCATTCGTCGCCCGAAGATTCGTCGTCGACTGCAGCTTCCTCTGGTTCTGGATCAGGTTCCGGTTCCGGCTCTGGTTCAGGCTCGGGTTCAGGCTCGGGTTCGGGCTCTGGTGGTTTTTCCTCCTTTTTCTTCTTTCTATTGTCGTATACGACCCTCTTGGGTTTCGAGTCTTCGCTCTTCTCTGCTTCCACGGGAAGCATCCCAGCGTCTCTCATCGCCTTCAGCCTCTCTTGCGCCAGGGCAGCCTTTTGCCTYTGTTTCTTCGTCATGTAGGTTCCCTCGCGCTTTTGTCGCTCGATCTTTTCTCTCTGCTTCTGCTTTTTACGTTCCTTTTCCTCCTCTTTTCGTCTTTCTTCCTCTGCCTCTTTGCGTTCGATTTCGGCAATGCGCTGGCGTTCTGCTTCCTCTTCGGCCGCAATTCTAGCTGCCTCCTCCTGCTGCTTTCGCAAGCGTTCCTGGACCATTTTTCCGCGAGCCGAGACCTAAGACAACCAACAAATCGAAACGACCAAGAATTTGTTAGTTCGTTCGGAAAGCRCATAAAGTAATCGTTCTTGATTCCACAAAAATCAATCGAACTCGAAAGCCACCGCACGAACAAAGTTGCATTCAGCAAGGAAACCATGACAATCCTCGATAGGTTTCTTTGTTCCTCAGTCCATAATTAATATGGGRTACGACAAACCATTGCTATGACAATACACAGTTCGTCGTCAAAAAGAAAAGGCACAGAAAGTTGGCTGYTCACGCACCTTTGGGTCTTCTTTCTTTTGTCCTGCGCCTGCTCCTCCCTTTTTCTTCTTCTTCTTCTTCTTTCCTCCTCCTCCTCCTCCGCCGCCGCCGTCGCCGTCGAGACCCTGGGCCGCCAAAAATGCAGCGGCTGCGTCGAGAGGTTCCGCAGGAGCAGCTGGGGCTTCTTCCTTCTTCGGTTCCTCCTCCGCTTTTGCGGCTCCCGCCTCGGCAGCAGCACTGTTCTTGCTGGCCTCCGCATCGAGCAAGGCCTCCCAGTCGTCGTCGTCGGCAGCCTGTTGCTGCTGGCCTCCCTTCTTGTTCTTGTTTTTCTTGCCCATGGTGATAGAGTTGTCTTTTTGCTTGGTGCCCGAAGGTAAGAATGTGGAATGTGGTCAACGACCGTTCGGTATGGATAAACTAAGAGAGTTGTTGAAGTCTGTAATACCGAACCTCGTCTTGCTCTGTTCGACGTTCCATGTACTTYTACTGCGCTATGAACTGTTTTGTCGAAAAAGCGGCGGGATATATTTTTTAGGATGGTCGTTCACCCCTTACGAACGACTGGCATACAACTTCTACASTACTGTACGTACTCGTAACGTAAACACCGTGGACACGACGTKCATTTTTGCGGAAAATGCAGGAGGAAAGACATGAGAACCAAGCGYCAACAATGATGGTGGTGATTGTTGATGATGTTGTACGGAAATTAAAAATTTGTGCGCATCAATAATTACACGTGTGCAAGGAAACACTGTTTCGCGACGACGGAAGGACGGTGTGAGTTTTTGGGTCACGAGCAAACTGATATGGGACTCACCAAGATGACGGMCTTCTTGAATGGTTTCAAAAAATTCGGTTTTTTCTAGAGAAGCATGTACGGTATTACTTACGGCACTTCCGTACGTATGGCCCATGTCGCTTCCGGGAAGGGATACGTTCGAGCCAAAACCTATCAATCAGAAGCACAAGCATTCGGCATTTCACCCATGAGACCGAGACCCATAACTCGAGCCCTATCTCCTTTCGTTCAAAGCTCTTGGGCCGGGTGCTCGCAACGAGCCGGATCGATCGGAGGAGAGCGGCTCGCGGTGCGGCGACACAACAACAACARCAAGAAGTATTCTGCAACGACGAAAAGGTCGATGTCGTCGTCGGCGCAACCCGTGATTGAAATACGAGAGGATTTCTTGGCTCCGCAGCACGCCAGAWCGTATTTCGAAGTTGTATCTGAAGATTTCCGCGTTGTTCATCCACCGAACCTGCGCTTCCTCAGTCGTCAAGAATTAGGCGGAGACCGAAATGTTGCGACTCGTGCCTACTATTACGAAGGCGGTTTGGCAGAACTCCAAGAACAAGAAATACTGGCAGAGGAGAATGAAATCCACCACGACGACCTCAACGTTTTYATTCAATCTCAGCATCGATCGGTGTATGTTGAGGCTCCTCTCTTGAAAGAACAATCCGAATTTGTGATAGGTCTTGGRGGCAACACCGCAGCAGGTGTTGACAACRACGAAGATTGTATTTTGGAACTTCGAAAATACCACCTCAAATTAGGYTACGACAYGGTACCAAAYTTCTTGGACCTATACGGAGCTGGGCTCCCATCGAAACTCCACGCCTCCGGTACGGACACGAAGACGAGTCTCGTAACGCTTCTCTACAGCGARGTGGGGCGTTTGAACGAAGTTATCGAGGTTTGGAGGCACGGGAACGGGATACGGGGCATGGAACGATCCAGAGTGGCAGCGAGGACTGCACACGAATGGAGGAACGCGATTGCGAGCATTGCCGATCTGGCAATCGAGTTTCGTTCGACCATTCATCGACCCGTATGGACGGCGTTCTCGCCGAAAAACAAATAGCAATGATAGCAACAAGTAAGGGGAAATCTCGAGAACCTAGAATGCAACCAYTTCCATATCTCTGTAATATATCTATCTATCCATCTATCTATCTATCTCTTGTGAATTCGAAATGGATAACAGTTTCTATGCCTTCAGTTGTCTGTAACAGTACGACTACCTACGGTACGTAGATACTACTCGTACCGTAAGAAAGATCTGTTCGGTACAAGTACAATTTCGTGCGTACAGTACGTCAGGGGTCATACCCCTGCGGTASGTTCAGTACTAAACACAACGAAGTACTGTATTTCGCATTTCGTAGATCCTGATCAAACCGGAAACACAAAGGATTTTAGTCACCAGAAACTAGGGACTCATAGAAGAACGTCAGAGCGTGATACGATTTATTCAATCTGTACGAGACGGTACGTRCGTTACTCGTACGATACGTAATTGCAGTACGAAAACTTCCAGGAGCCACACACATCGAGGTGTGTCTATCTACAGGTATGATCGTTGCTTGTCTTACGTTTTGCCCACCGAAACGAAAATTTTGTTCAGGAGACGTCACATTCGTTCGAAAACATTCAACATCAATTACAAACGACCTTCTGTGAAAAACGAAGTAAAATAGAAGAAAGCCGTGGAGCATTAGTTTCAATCAATACCTTTCATCCCATTTTGTTGTGACCAACTTATTTGTCCTTTTTAAATTCAAACTTGAAACAGAGAAACTTATCAGACCTTTCTTGCAATCTCCGTTCAAACGTTGGAACTAATTGAAAACAAGAAAGAATACCGAAGAAAAGATCAACAACTGCAAACAATGAGATTTACACTTTCTGCCGTTCTAGCACTGGCGAGCATTGCTCAASAAAGCGATGCATTCCTTTCCCCGGCMCTTAGAACAAAAACTACAGCAATTCACATGAACCCCGAGGACGAGGAAAATGAAGAACCTGCTAGTGGTAGTTCCCGTTTCAAAGAGATGATGGCAGCAGCAAAARCCCAGCAAGGCCAGGGAGCAGTACCAAGAGGTCGTCCCATTGAAAATCCTTTTCTAAATCCTTCTGCTCCACCTCCTGTTAATCCTGGCGACCTTTCCGTTGAAGAGCAAGCACGTATGTTCCGTGAAATGATGGCAGGAACAGCCGTTCCTACTCCTCCTCCAGTTCGRGTTGCTAGAGAAGATCGCGCAGGACGACCCGTCGGGAGAAATYCYGATGCAGACAAAATTTCGAACACGTCTGACCTCTACTTTGCCCAGCTCAAAAGAGATTCGACTGTTCGTACACTTGCTCGTCAGCGAGATGATTCAAGTGTTTCGGAGGCCGTATTTCAAGACGATGGCATTAAACAACTCGACGACCTGTTGCAAAATAACCCGCACTTGCAAAGGTAAGTTCTTTTGCGTTCGCATAAAGAATTGGCGTGCATTTATCGTTGTGGAGGCTKTCCCGCTATTTGTTTTTGCAAATTTGGTTAGGATGAGGCCATATCTTATTGGTGTCTCCTCATCTTGTCGTGTTTCATAATACAACAGTCAGAAAGACGAAGAAAGAGAAATGTTGGAAAATCTTCCAGACGAAATAGTTGCTCCTTACTTCAACACAAAGCCCATGGAAGAAGATGAACTGACTAAAACCGGTATCAATTACAAGAAAATACTRGCAGCCAGAACAGGAAAGAAGGGGGAAGAAGGAACTGCCCCAGCTCCAGCACCACTCGAACAGCCTGCACCGCCGGCCCCCCAACAACCGGAACCTGTAGTTGCTCAGGTGAGTACTCCTCCTCCACCKCCTCCAAAGCCGGAACCAGTTCCCGAACCCGAACCTGAGGTTCCTCGTCCAGTTACTGTGACATCTARTAAAGATGGAAGAGTTCAAAACATCCGAACGCTCATGGGATTGACACTGAAACATCGCGGAGGACCAGGTTTCGGCGGAGGACGTTTGAAGGGACCGGACATCGACCTMTTTGAGGGCTTGGTCGATGAAATCTCAAACATGTTAGGAGAGGAAGCAAAGCTTGCACTACCCCCTATCGACACACCAGCCATTCCAACAATGGAAGCAACCCCGACTACGGTAGCGCCTCCGGTTACTGTACAGGCTCCTGCARCTGTTCCGGCTCCTGCGGCCGTTTCGGAGCCCGTAGCTTCCAGTACCGAAGCTGCTAACATCGACAGTACGATTGCGTGTATCGAAGGTGCTATCACGATGTACAACAATAGTCCACCTGCAATCCGAGAGAGCGTCCTTGTCACTCTACGTGCTGCGCTTATGTCAGCGGTCGATACATGCAATATTGCATTAGCTCAACCAGCAACWCCTGTCGCGGCAAGTCCAGATGGCAGTATTGAAGGGATGGTAGCATGTATTGAGGGAGCCGTAACTATGTACAAAAACAGCCCTCCTGCATTGAAAGACAGCGTAATGGTWACGCTTCGCATGGCACTGATGTCAGCTGTGGAAACATGCAACGTAATTATTGGAGACGGTCAAGTCGCTCCTCCCCCACCGCCTGCCACACCGGCACCCGTAGCACCTCAGACTACTCCAGCGACTAGCGTAGCACCGGAACCTGTCACACCTCAGGCTCAAGCTCCTCCAGCGACTAGTGTGGTGCCAGAGCCCCCTGCGCCTCAGGCTCCTCCAGCGACTAGTGAAGCCTCGCCACCTACGGAAGAAAACAGCAAGGCTTTGGAAAGCGTACTCGAAAAAGTAATCGCCGCTTCCGGAGATGGAAAGCTGGGACTTCGCAGTGATCTAACAGMTACCGAAGCTGATGAGCTGGCCGATCAACTAGTAAATATGCGAGGAATTTTGATGGATGAGTTGAATTCAGACAAACCTGCTCCAGACTCATCACAAGCTAGTCAAGGAACAGCCTCAAAGTATGAACAGATGCTTGCCAAGGCAAGAGCTGAGAAGGCCCAAGCATGATAATTCTGAGAGCGAGTTACTCCAAAACAGTTTGCGATTCTACAAGTAGGTCTAATAGCTAAAATTTTAGTCACTCTAGTATTTTCTTAACTTCTAGCGGCCCTTTTTGGTGTTTCGTTTGCTTGCTGCCAGTCTCTGCATTCTTGCTGTAACATCAGTCTCGATCTTTCTGGAAGTATCATACTCGTTATGCTTGSTTCGATTTGCAAGTGCTTGGTTACGACGTTCCAGAGCAGAGGCTGAAGCCTCTCTGATTGATKYGTTTTGTTGAGCAGAACGAGTATCAGGATTCACAAAATTTCCGAAAATTGTTCGCCCGGCCATTAAATGATTAGCTTCAGGCACCGCTGCTTTGYTTCCTTCGAATAATTTACTATTCGATGAACGAAATTCAACAGAAAGATTCGGAAGGATCGAGAGGTTTTGAATCTCGTCATAAAGTGAACGGATTTGATCTTCCCTCTTTACAAAAGACTTTTTCAAATTTGTATTCGCAGSTCTATGACTCTCGCTAAGAGTAGAYTTTTTCTTGATTTTCTCCTTCGGCTCGGATGAGTCTGCAATGAGATGAATCCTTGGTCTGGGAACACGAGACTTGGTGTCCCATTCATCGCARAAGATTTTGACAGTCACGACATCCAAAATCGTAATCTTATATGTCTTGGTYGTCTCCCGAAGACTAACCTCCAGATGAGAGTGCTCTAGAGAATCATGAAGAGTACACGTTCCCGAAGGAAAACGTCGAGTTGATTTTGATGTAGCGAAGCCCGTTGTTGGGTCAAGTCCGGAAGTTTTCTTTAAACCTAGTAAGGCAGGATCAATCTGCACGACTCCATCCCTGTCACTGAGATAAATAGGTGCCCTGAAATCAAATTTTGGAATGTATGCCCAAAATCCGTTGCTTCTCAAGTTTGTAACAACCGCTTGTGTTATCTCGACATGATCTTTGAAATACAAAGAAAGAAACAATCCCTGGCACTCAAATGATGATAGTTTTGCCATTCTATTTTGCCGGTTGAGGGTCTGACAGATTTTTGAGACTTTTTCATTGGTGTACGCATCTCCAAGTTCTTTTCCAGCAGTAGTCAGTCTGCTAAAATATTCAACCAAAATGTCTGATGCTTTACCAGTACTTGATGGCGAATCTATATTTTTTGTGACAGAGCTAGTTGACGCTTTCTTTCTATCTTTCGCATCCTCGATGCCTTCTCCTTGAATAATTGATATAGTTTTTGACTCGGGGAGAGATTTCAATGCTTTGCGACCGAATCCAGGAGGGGCTCTTAGAGGAAAGTCGTCCGYTTTTAAGGTCAACGTTTGGAGGAGTTGATGGTGAACGACTACGTCTGCGTAACGCCGGATTGGAGAAGTAAAATGAGTGTACTTTCCCAACCCGAGCCCATAGTGTGACAAACCCTGTTCACCCCCTATTTGACCCGTCGATACGTATTGGGCTTCAGACATTGCTCTGAGTGCAAAAGGAGAMAGTAAGAATATAATGTGGGGGCCACGCGGTGTCGTATACGCTGCCATGTATATCGAGTGCTTACCGAGTCGCAAGAGATTGAAATAGAGAATTGACTGCAGAATTTGTCTTACAAGACTTTTCGGCCTTTTTGAGAGAGTCAGCTAATTTCATATTGCTACTGCCATCGAACGAAATCTTTCCTGCATCAAGTATATCTTTGAGGTCTTCGAAACGACTTTCATCTACRCTTTGGTGAATTCGAAGCAATGCGGATGTTGGGAATCTTTCGAAAATAGTTTTAGCGACCCAAGAATTTGCCATAATCTAAATAAGAAGATGGTGCACATCGGTTAGAAAATTGTTACCATTCRCACTGCATATTTCTGTAAAGAAGGATATCATTGAACGTACCATCAACTCTAAATAAGAAACATTTTAGTGGGTGGCAACAAAGCAAAACGTGACAATRTTGAGTATTCTWGCGTACCGGTATGCGATTGTGCCCGACATGTACAGCGAAACCTACCTGCTACTGTCTGATGAATCTCAAGTTGTTTCTTTGGTATTACCTGAACTGGATTGTGGTTTTCGTCCAGAGTAAATTTGAGCTCACTACTRTTATCGCCACTTGATAAGTCTACAGCACCTCCTATGTCTTCTCGATCCTTTCGAAGTTTTCTTGAAAGCTCAGTCAATATCAAGAGATCTTCCCTCAGGYCGCTAAGGTTGGAATGATTCACAGGATAACCAGCGGTAAGTGGAGGTGGCGGCGGCTTTGTGGGGTCGTCGGGGGGATTGTTGTGAAGAATATTGTGTGCTTGATTGTACGTCATGGCCTGGCAATTGCGAATGACAGTCCGTCCATACCAAAAATCTTTAACGGTTTTGAAATCACTTGACATGACCCAAATGGTAGAGACAGCTAATCGATCTACATCTCCATGCAAACTACAAAGATCGCTGCTTAGTACGCTGGGTAGCATGTCGAATCTCCGGTCAACAAGGTAAAATGTAGTTGCGCGTCTTCGAGCCTCTTTGTCAAGCGGAGAGTCGCGTAGAAGAAAATGGGTGACATCGGCAATATGAACGCCAACTTCGATATCCCCATTAGGGAGCATATGAACATGAAATGTGTCATCGATATCCTGACAACCAATCGGGTCGACGCTGAAGATCCGGCGAGTAAAACGAAGATCCTTTCGTCGGGAAATTTCGTGTGAAGGAATCTTCCAGTCGTGACCCTCTACCGGCAAACAAGCCAGGGCGGCCGCACTGAACGGTTCCAGATATATTTGGTTTTCCTTCAGTAAACATGTGATTTCTGTTTCTAAATTTGCGATTGGTCCCAATAACTCAACGCAATGTCCTGAAGGATAACTTGACCCGACCTCCCAGTGGTCAACGTGAACCCACAAACGTTGACCTAAGAACCGCCTCCATCCGTTTGTCTTTATCCGTATCTTGGGTATTCGAACATCCATGGGCACTACCAAACATGCCGATTCGTCACCCATCGGTGTATCTACCATGGTGGCAACAAATTGCCTTCGGGATTGTTTGAAGATGGCGACTACTCTCCCGGACGGCACCGATGGTGAGGCRTCCTGTGATACCCCATTTTCGGCATCACTAAAATTCAAATCGTCGTTATCGTTCGACTGAGTGGGCATTAGCCGTCGTTTTCCTAGAGGACTGCTCCATTTTGTTTTCGGTAGCGTCTGGACCACAACGACATCTTGATGGAACGCCCTGTTGAAGTATCCTCTTGATTGATTGATAAAAAGAGACGACGGATCCCCTTCAGCTCCAYCACTGCTCAAAACGACTCCCTCTTTGATATTTTCCTTCGTCACAGTCAGTCTTCCCTTGATCAGAGTTTTGTTGCGTAATCCTTCCTGAATTCTTTCTTCGGTCCAATGCTCTTCGATACCTGCGTCCAAGGCGGATAMAAGATTTCTAGACCTTTTTGTTGGGTCGTTGCGCAGGTCGTAGTCCTCTTGACATCGAGCAGCTAGTTTCTTGACCTGATCGAAAACAWCATCATCCATCCAGTGATCCTGTGWTGCATCCTCGTAGTGGCGGCTTTCGTAAATTTGCTCAAGRAAATCTTCCATCAGGACTGTTTGGATTCCGTCTTCCTGTGGAAATTGCTGCGCAAAGTCTCGATCTCCMGACAAGATGAAAAACCTGGAAGAGCTTTTATCGGTTTTGTTGGAGCGATATTGGCGAAGTAATCGCCCAGCACGAAAGAGTGCATTTTGAGACCGATCACACATGGGCATATCATCATATTCCATGAGGTCCCATTCGTCTTCGTCATTGTCGCTTCCGATTCCTTCTCGTACAGATAGATCGCAGAAGACCTCAACCATGTCTTCGTGACGCTGTACCAACCTTTGGATCTGAGACCGCTCGTGAGGGCTCGCCATCTCGGGATGTAGATGAACAGACTCAGCAGTGATTGTTGGCGATACGTTGCGATAATCCATCCAGTCTGCGACCGATTCTAGAAGAACCCATCGGCAAGCACGCCGTCTTGTTTGTCGCTTGTCGGATTCTTCGATTTGTTGTTTGCTGTGCCGTGCTTCTTGTTCAATCAAAAACAAGATCAATTTAAGGTATGTTCTCAAGGCAAGCCCATCAGGAATAATCCAATCAATTCCCTGGTTTTCACTCTCATCGCTCCCACTWGTGTTCCCCCGAGACGAAATTGTATGCCAGTACCGTTCTCTTACCCGGAGTTTTTCCTTCAAAAAATCGCGGTGAAGCCAACGACCGTTKCCTTGTCCATTGTTGGATGTAGCCAACATCGTGTTTGTTAGGTGCTGATCATTCGACAAAGATTAGCTAGAGATGCATACAAATCACACGGGATGTTGTGTCATACCATAGACAGTACGGTAATTGGTTTTTAATGAAGAAGTGGAATGATGAAACTGATGTTTTCCCCGAATCGAGGAAAAACGAGGTAAAGCAGACCTTTCTTGATTTTTAAGTTCTTCACAATCCTGTTTCCAAWTTTCAGTCTGACATACTTGAAAGAAGTGGTACACATGGCTCCCTTTGCTTTTGACTTTTGATTTTCCAACATCAATGTTGTCATTAATCATGACAGGTCTGCCAACATACAATTTAAGGATTGGGGATCTGTCCTTTTGGAAGATTTCACTATGTCAGCATCTTGTTATGCTGCAGTTAGTAAGCAATGATATTGCTTAAGCAATGATATTGCTGAAAATCTGGCATGATGTCATGTCTCCTCTCCTCTAGTATTCTCTTGTTTTGTCAATCTGCAGTTTTAGCTTTGAGGYCTTGATTACAATGCTGTGATCTGGTGATCTGACTTTTTTATTTTTTGAGTGTGTGCTTTTGAAAAACTCAGAAAATATGCCATCATTTATTGCACACTTGTCTGCATTGCTGTGTGTTGCTGTTGCATAAGAAGCAATTCCTTCTGGAAGTTTGTCCCAAGGTTTTACAATCCTTGACTAGATGATTTGAACATGCCCTTCTTTCAAGCCATTTCTTCTTAAATCAGCAAGAAGCTCCCCCCAGATTAAATCATTTTCAAATCTGTGGTTTGTTTTAAGTTCAAGGAATGTGCTTCTTGTTCTTTTTTCTCTCCAGAGATAGGCAGAATCCTTTTTCATCAAGAGTGAGTCTCCTCCCGCTGGTTTGAGTTGGTTGAAGTCACCTGCACATCCAATGGATAGATTGTGATAGAGATTATATGACAGCTTGTCATGTAACAAGTTCAGATATTAGTTCAATGTATCCAACTGTTTGATGCTAGCAAATGATGTAATTTCAACAATGAGCATGCTCGTCTAATTTTCCCATGCATCATCCTGTACAACATTAGAACAATTATAATTTAGATGACAAGAATTATATGGAGGAAGTAATGTTACTGGTACTGACATTAAGTGGACAAGCAAAACCCTCAAGTTTGTACTACTAGGTTGTGAGTCTTTCAGTATAGTATTGATATCTGGCTGCTGTCTTCTTGATAGGAATGTTCCTTGTTGTTTACAAGAAGAGTCTCCTTCCACTGGTTTGAGTTGAATGAATTACTTTTGACTTTCCAGTACCCTGATACTACTACAAACATTGAAATGCTCTTCTTTTATTGTTAATGAYTACCTTGAGATCTTGTATGTGGCTGGTACTTGTTGTTACAGCTATTACTACAAATCTTCCCTTGAAGTCCCTTCTTTTCTTTAATTCATTAGATGAATGCACAGATTTTAAATGTCAAAACACAAGCAGCACCAATCTAGCTATTCATTTTCCCTGTCCCTATCCTAATTTTGAAAATTCAACTTTATTGTACTAGTGCCTGGTATTTTCCAAGATCCCAGTACATGATGTGAAGTTGTTGACAACTTCCACATTATTGCTCCTGCCAGAATGACAGTATCCATATCCTCCATTCCTCATTTGAAAAATGATATAGTAATGCTCTGTTGGAGCAAAGCAATAAAGCTTTCCATGGTCGCATTTTTCTCAGCAAGAAGCATTCCTTACACAAAGCATCATTAATAGAGGAGAGAGTCATACACTTTTTTGCCTCCACCCAAAACTTGTCCAACTGAAGCCACATTGTTTCCCCCTGGTGACCCTGAAGCTTTGTTCCTATCCAGCCAATGTCCACCAATACTTCCTTCTTGTTATACTTCTATGAGAGTTTATGAGCAAAATCTACAGCAGTATTCAAGAWGGTGCTACTACTATTTCAACTACCAATACCAATCTGATTGCTSAGTACTTCTAACCTCTGTTGCTGACTACTGATTGCAAGAAACAACAACCACTGGGGAGCATCAATCAAGATATGATGTTGCTGGTCTTTGATTTATGCTCCTCCAAAAAGAGACAAATACTTTAAATCATTCCAGGTGTTGTCCGTAGGATATCCTCGATAAGAGCATTGACTCACTTTTCTACTAGCACACACTTTACATCACTTTTAGGACAGTCACTCCCACACCAGGAGCATACCTTAGTACATCTGTCCTACCCACTCATCCTTCTCCAGGAATCCTATTCCTCACAGCAACTAGTACTAGTGGCACAAGCAACCTTCTCCCACCACCAGCAGTAAGAAGTGATGACTCAGCTTCCCTAATGCCTTTGCTACTTCACAATATTGAATTTTCTACTTATTTTTACTAATAATAGTAACATCAACATTATGCAATGCTCAGGAGCACCATGTGTTTTTTTGGCTAGTCTTGTTTTTTTTCCACTTCTGCTTTGATGGTTGTATGGCGTGTGACAGAATTTATCAAGTCTTGGGAACAGAATTCTCTTTCACCAAGTAAAAATAACCGTCTGCAGTTTGATTTTGAATGACCAATCATGGCAATARCTCCTCATTGGTGTAGTAGTTGCCCCATTTGCTGGTGGCTAAATGTTGTTGTAGAGGCTGTCAATGTTGACTTGGCATTGCTACTATGCTCTCTGATGCTATCCCCCAACTTCTTGGAGAGGAACTGGCAGTTTTTTTGTATGACTCAAACTTGTCCATCAAGGTATGCCTGCCAAAGCTGTCCATATTTATTGTTGTTGGGTTCTTTTTTATGTCTGAATGGCTGATCACAGTAATTTCTGARTTTGTTAGTCTTTGGAGGGTTTAGTTTGTTCTATTAAATCTTGGAATGACCAATCACAAATATGATTGATTTTTTGAGTCTTGGGAGTAATTTGGTTCTCTTAAATGCTGGAATGACTGATTGTCACAATAATGACGGAATTTTTAGGTTAAAAATGAATAATCTTTCTTTCTCAAGGTACTAATAYATTTGCAAAAAATGGGATATTGGGGTTGACATGGATTCTATCATATAGCGTGGGCAGAGTTATTCCGCCCAAATAAATCATACATTTTTTAATTCAGATATACGAAAACATATAACTATGAATACTTATCAGACGGCACCATTCTTCCCCACGGCATTAAAAAGCTCTTTGAATTCTCTTTTTAACCATGTGCTTATCATACTCAAGCGTCTGTTGGGAAAAAAGTTATAGCTGTTCAAGTGAGTTGACTGTCTCTTAATGCCCTATGTGTTTTTTCTACTGTGTGTCAATTTTGGGCCATCTAATTACTGTGTTATGACTTGTGGGATTAAAAATTGACTTGTAGTACTACAGCTATAGAGTCCACATTCAAGCRAAACTATTTTGATYGCACACCACCAGCAGGATRCCCATCATGATTCCTTCTTGACAGTTAACTGTTTCTTTGCAGACTTAGCCAGTAAAGGCTTTTTCAGGCACACAACTGSTGTTGTGTTTGCTTGGTGTAGGAGCCCAATACCTGATCATCACTCTGAACAAAATTGAAGAAATATCTGGTGGTCCATTTCACTCTAGAACAAATATAAATCATAAATCATGTACTACTATTACTATTACTACTACTACCAAAATAACTCATGATGGAACATTACAACAAGAAAGGATACTATTAAGCACGAAACACAACAAGAATGTTTGTACAAATAGTAGTAGTAGTGCTAGTAGTCATTCTTTAACTAAGATAAATTATTTGAATTCAATTTTATGAATAYCAATAGTACTTTCAACCTGCTGTGGTCTCTTCTTCAAACTGTGCTTTTTGAACTATGAATACAATAAGGTCTTCTCCTGAACATTCTTTGCTGGTCTCTTTTGGCCAGTAGTAGTTGTAGAACATGGGCTTGTAAACAATCTCCATCTTCTACTAGACAACACTGCTTTCTTTGCTTGAACAAAATGGCCATATTTTCAAATGTCTCCACTTGAACAAACCTTGGAGGACTTCTTTTGGGCTCTTTATCAGAACTCTTCTCTGCTTTGCTCAACTTAAAGTTCATCTTCAATGCCAACTCAGGTCCTACTAGCAATGGCAGCCAGCTCCTCTGTGTCAGTATTTCTGCTCACCAGCAAATGATTTTTAAAGCCCAATAGCAGTGGTGGAGTTGGACTTCATATCAGGATTCTGGAGGTTAAACTGAAGGAGGATCCAGAGAGTGGAAATTTTCTAAATTGTAATATCTAATGTGGTAAACATACAACTAAGTTACGACAATAAGGTTGTTGGTGGAAAAATTTGTCAGAACCAGTTTTCTTTGCTCAGAATATTTGTACTAATACTAGATTTTGTGCTGAGAGCTTCCTTGTGTCAGTCACTCTTGATACAGAGAGCCATTGTGTCATTCTTTTACACATTTTTCCAGATTTGATTGCTGTGTTGTTAATGTAATACTAGAGATTCTTGATTTTAGGAGAAAGTTTCAGCAAGTATAAAATCATTGTATCTTTCCACTTTTGATTAGTAATAGTTCTAGGCACTATTTTGATATTTGAAATTCTAGACATCWTGTGTTCTACTCAACCCTGCTCCATTGGGCTTGCTGCCCCTTATAGCAATTACTAGAGTAGCAGTACTAGAAGCATTCCTCTTCCCAAAAGTATTAATGGCTCTGGCTTTAGCAAGTGTCTCTTCTACTACTTTGCAAGGTTCAAAACATTTTTATGTTGCTTTTGAACATGATACTTATAAGATGTAGAGTAACTGCCAAAGAAGGTTTTATGAACATCAGAGGATGAATAAGTAATGTTAGCAGTACTAAAAACAATACTACTCTGGGGAAAACCACAATCTAGTACTACTTTCACTGTGGTATAGTACACTAGCAGTTGAACTACTGTTGACTAGTATAGGCAGTTCTKTCTTCAAGATAAATATACCAACAATCAACAACAAACATTATTGCTAACTTCCTGATTTTTCTCTTAGATACCAGCAGGTGATCTCTAATATGAATGGTAAAATGGTGGATTCTTTAATGAGCTATCCTATTTATGAGTGGTATGGAAGAGCCAGTAGCCATGTGCTGAAACTAAAGTTGTAATGATACTATTAGTGATCTTATTTGTCATYACAAAGATTGCTGCTGCCATTGTAGTGCTAGTGGTACTACTAGCTATTACAACAAGTTTCTTGTACCATTTTTGTATCAGTCACATATGATAGTTTGATAGGTACTATTTTTACGGATGTCCACACTTGGCTTCCGGCCAATTGCCATTGACACTCTTGCTACATGTCTCACCRAAYGGCTAGACACTGGCAGAGTTTCTCCAGAGAAAYATCCTACATCCCTCCATCCAGTTATCCATTTTCAGAGCAAGATTGGGTGGCACCACATGTTTGCCGGTCACATTTCACTCCAGTGGGTTACTGATCTTGATCTTCATTCAAGCTCTTACTCCCCGCTCGTGCTGGGGGGATTACCTTGTGGAATTCTTTCTTACCTCCTATATATTGTTATGGGAACAGCGAAACAAAGACCTCCATGGCTACACACTTTCCCAGCAACAAGCAAAGCATTGACAGTGGGTGGTGACAAAAGTCCGCACTCTGTTTGAACTGAAATCACAGACATGTCCATCCCATGCTCACCTATTCCCAGAGGATATGGAAGCCTTCTTATCAACTGCATCTACTTCCATGCTYACAWATTATCATTGAGTCTACGAGAAGACAATTCTAGCAAGTGTCAATCAAGCCTCGAGTGCTTTGSTCTCCAACACTTGCCCTATTACCCAGTACTTTACCATAGTAAGCAACCACCKGAGAGCGTCACACAAGAGGATTCACTGGTCTTTGACGCCTACTCCAAAMAGAAGTGACACAAACAACCTGTCGYGCCAGATACTTCTTTGGCTCCTCCTGTCAATTCTTCCAGTTTACTTCAAACCAAGCTCAGTCAATACTTTTAATTCCAGTGAAACAAACCCCTGGTCGCACTTCCACTAACACTCCTTGGAGGGAWGTGCCACCCCTCAGAGCAGCTAGAAGCATTCTTTCCACCAAAAGATATGGTTCTGGCCATATAGCRCCTCTTTTAGCTCATGRGGTTAAAAATAATATTAAGATTTTTTTAAACTTCATACTATTTTCCAACTATGAGGTACTAGACACATTCATGTCAGCTCTGGTCTGCAGTGAAAAATAACAACGATCCCAATGATAGTGGGTGCACCAGAGGARTTCTGAAGAGCCTGCCAAGATTTTAAATACTGCACCAGGTCATACTCTCTGCTAATTACTTCCTAAAACATTGCATGGAGCCTCGTAAATTTTTATACTTGAAAATCCTAAAAGAGGAAAACAGAACAAAAATATATCACCACCACATGTTGATACTATACTGCATGCTCTGTTTGAAAAAAGATCGAAACATACATAATAAAATAATACTAAATATTAATTCAAGCACAAAGAGTATATAAAACACCACYAGAGWAAAGCACAAGCAAAAAAASACGTAGCTTTTCATTCATGTAGGCAGCTAGTTAGAGCTGTGTGGCTAGTATAGCACTTCGTTTGACGACCCTTTTCATGCAGTATTTTGAACAACACCATTTGGATTCCTTTGTGTAGCAATGGCTACATGAAGGTCTTTCCTCATTTCGATGACGTCAATGGAATTGGAGTCTTCAGCATTTCCTCTAGGCCTTGCGCTGACAATTCTTTCAATTGACTCTCGTCAATTTTACCTTCTTGAGGAGATTCAGATGGTGCTTTCGAACTTACTTGTTCTGAGCCATCTTTCGGGTTATCACCCAAACCGCAACCCGGGGCTTTCTTCAAAGTGGCTACGATCTCTTCAATGGCCTTCTTATTTTCTTTAATTAAATCTCCATGTACCCCGCATTTGGATATTCCAGAATTGTACGATTGCTTCAAAGATTCCAGCATCTTTTCTACTGGAGCAGAATCAGACTCATCTGCTCTGTCTCCATTCTCGTCTGCGACCCCAACGTGTTCGTCTTTGTTCTCGTCTGCGGCCTCAACCTTTTCAACCTGACAAAGGTTTGACTCGTTGGTCTTGTTTTCGTTGTCGTCTTCGACGGCCTTCAAGCCAGTACCGCATGCTGCGACTTCAAGCTCATCACCAAACATGATGACCATATCATCGTTATCTTCGGGAAGCTTTGTACTTGTCTCMTTTACGTCGTGCTGCAAGACTCCAAGCATGCGATCCATATCACTCTTTGAAATAAGTCCTCGTTCTTGGATAGCTTCTATTTGACTAGCGACCTGATTGCTGAATGATTTGAAAAGCCCAACGGAAGAATTGTAAAAGTCTGAAGCCATCGACGTAGGGCCACTTGCCTTMTCAGATCCAACGCAGTTCTCCTCTACAACTTTGTCTTTATCACTTGTAGTAGATAGTCCCGATTCACCATCCTCTTTTTCCTGAAATTGTTGAACGGACTCCTTCTTCAAATTGCTAGGTATATCAGACTTCTCCTCTTGTACGCCAACGAAAAATTCCTCATCTTCAACGTCTATAGGTGCATTAAATGCTGCAGTTTCAACATTGATCGGAGCTTCGTGATTGCCACCTTCTTTTCTTAGATCATGCGCCTCATCGATCAGARCATTTGGTGCAWCATCAAGATCTTCCTCCCTGATCTCTGTAGCATCAATGAAGACATCTCCTTCATGRGAAAATGCCTCTTTCGTAAGGTGCTGCAACTTTTTAGTGGGGGACGTCCTCATGATCATTTGATTTTCACTTCCTATCTCCGGTTTAGGAGGGTTTTTCCTGGTATTCAATTCTGCCATGTATCTTCGATCTTGCCTTTTAACCTGAATAGCATCTTCCCAGGAATCTCCTTCTTCGTCCTCATCAATTGAAGCTCGATAGTCCGTATCTTCATAAGGAAGTCCATGGCGCCGGGTTTCAGTAGGTATCATTTCTTGTTTCAGATCCATTTTTGCCTTCTCCACAGCTTTGCCCAAATGCCTGAGATTGCTGACATTAATATTCATGTCTGTCTCTAAATAGCGTCCTGGAGGTCCTGATAAAGACGGTTTTGATAGTCTCATTTGAAGTTTTCCTGCCAACCTACGTTCAGCGTATGCAGCTCCCTTTGTAGACATGATGCGAATGTCAGTAGTGATCTCCGAGACTTCGGTGCGATCATCATCTTCAGCTCCAACTTCGATCTGTGATGGGGGTGCCCTCCTTTCATCTTCTCCAATCATATCTCTACGATAGCGACAAGGATCTGCATAATGATTTCTCAGATTTTTTTTCGGGGAATTTCTCAGGATTGAAGGGGGTTTCTGTTTTTGAGTCGATCTCATAATAGTCTGCGCCAAAGCATCGTCSTTGGCAAAATGGTCTTCTCGCTCTAAGGCAGGAGAATCWTTTCCCCCTATAGCAGTCATTTCTGGAGTGCTTTCCTCTCTTCCCTCGCGATGCTGCTGGTTATTTATCATCGACATYTTCTTTCGTTCATTAATGCGTTTCCTCAAATCAGAGAGGGCGGCTTTGCTTTTCTCTACAGGATCTTTGGGTTTGCTCTCATGATTCAGCAAAGTATGTTCCTTCGTAAAATCTGAAGCTTTAAGGAAATTGCTTCTCGTCTGGAGCTTTTTCTGAAGCTCTTCCGAACGGCGACCTGACGACGGCATATTTATAAATGGATTGCCGAGAAGACCTTACTGAATGTTTTGTTCGATTATCTGTTTTAAATGAATTCCAAAAAGGGTATTGGCCTACTTTGTCCTATGAAGTTATTTGTTCTTCGAGAAGGGTAAGCAAGCAAGAAGAATACTAGAAGTGAAGCTATTAAAGGGTGCGCCAATTTGACGCTTCAAATACGCACGTGCGATGATGAAGAAGTGCACCATGCGGTTGGAAAAAAAGCGATAAAAAGTGCACATAATTGGGAAATTTAGAGAGCTCGGTCGGCTCGAGAGCTGGGCGGGTAAACGGTCTTAATATATACTTCATACTTTCTAAGGATATGCATTTTACCTACCGATAATAGAAATGGATTTCTTTTGGCGCGCTATGAGTCACTCCCACGTCATCAAATTGATCTCTTAAAGAATTAAAATAAATTAGAATTAAAATAAATAAAGCAGTACCAAGTACTGGTACCCGTACCGTAAATTATTCGCACGATGCAAATATCACGTCCTATTGTGATTCGTCTTCGACGATAATGAAGTCGATCGCTGATTGTCTCCACCTATACCGGTATATTAGAAGTATGATGTTTATTCTTCAGCTTCGAAGCATTGTTTTCATTCTGGGGCTGATACGTTCTAGTGCTTACTCAACAAACTTCAGTCACAAAATTTCCTTCAATATGGTGGAAGGACATTCAGTGCAYCGSGTTGCATCTCTTCATCGCAAACGATTAGTAGGGAAATCATTTTTCGCTTGGAGTCCAAACGGTCGATTCTCGGAGGGTGCTGAAGCGATCAAYGGAAGGGTATTTTCCAGGATTGAAGCAGTCGGCAAGAACTTGTTTGCCTTCTTTGACAATGCCAGCGAAGATAAGAACGAAAGGGAAAAAGAAACTGTTGTCATGCATGTGCACTTTGGAATGGCAGGAAATTGGGCAGTTTACATGAACGAAGATGCCCCAGAACCAACAAAAACCAACAGACTGAGACTGGAATACCCTGGAATTATCGCCGATTTGAGTGCKATGACGGTTCAACACGGAGGAATGGAATTATATACCGAAAAACGATCAAAACTGGGCGAAGATCCTCTTCGCGAAGATGCCGATCCTGAACGCCTTTGGAGTCGAGTTCAAAAGTCAAAAAAGTCAATTGGTGCCCTAATCATGGATCAGTCTTTTTTCACGGGACCGGGAAATATTTACCGAGCCGAAATATGTTTCAAGGCTGGAATCCATCCAAATCGAATAGGTAGTAACCTGCAACGGGAAGAATTCGATAGGGTGTGGTTTCATACGAAAGATCTCTTAGAACGTGGTTACTCAACTGGATCTATTCTGACCGTCGAYCCAGAGGAGGCGAGAGATCTCGGAAAGCCTAGAATGAGAAGATACATCTATAATACGGCGAAATGTCCTCGTTGTTCAACATCCATCAAGTCTTGGCAGATTGCTTCGAGAACGTGTTATGCTTGTCCAAAGTGTCAGCCGTTGAATCCGAATCATTTGGAATCAGCTTCAACTCTCGCTTTTGTATCGCCTCAAAAAGACACGGTCCCATTTAACTCTCACTGCGCTCGTGAATCCGTAGAAACTCGTCTCTCTGAAAGTGGGCCATCGAGGTTGACGATCAAAGAGCTTAAGGCACAACTTACGAAGAGGGATATAAAGTTTTCAACGAACGCGAGGAAAGGAACCCTCGTGGAGCTTTTATTGTCGCAGATAAAACCAGCTATTGTTACACCACAAAAAAATGCGCAGAGAGATCCATCAAAACTAACAGTGAAAATRATCAAAGCTGAGCTTACGGAGATGAATGTAACCTTTCCATCTAATGCAAAGAAGGCAACTCTTGTCGAACTCCTGTTGTCATCAGAAAGAGAWGAGAAGACAGACGTTGACGCGAAAACCGTTCTATTTGTGTCTTCCGAAAATGCAGCTGYTGAGAAAGCCGCGGCAGGTGAAAGTCTTGCAGTCGAGCATATTGCTGAACTCGCTCCAGGTCAGGCACGAAAAGCTAGAGCTAGAATTTCGAAGAAGAGAGCAAAGAAAGACGAAGCAGCTACACCAAATATTGTACCATCAGATATGACGATCAATGATTCGAGAACTCGTATATCGAAACGAGGAAGAAGAAYGAAGCGGTAAATTGCTAGTACCACAACGTACAAGCGTTCTGGATATGGTTCAGTAGATATTCTAATTTGTCTTTTCTGAACTGATATTTAATATTTTGTTCCAGAAGACGAAGTTCTCGAAAAGAACTCTCTAGCCTTCTGCTCTTCATATTGTTTTCTTCTTATATCTGATAAAATTCGGAATCCATGGATACCTGCTATATATATCCCCAGTAGTGCAATGTTGAAAAGCGCAGATTCCTTTTTGGAGACAATTGACGTCGATAGAGCGCAGAATCCAGCGAAGCACGCTGTGTTTTCGAAAAGCGCTCGGGACCGGATGTCATGAAGCGTCTTGCTTTCGACGCCATCACCAAACAGTCGMCCAGTAGTTATATCCCTAAACGTTGTGACATCTCGCATTGTCAAACTAAGTCGAATGCCCTGACTTTCTTCCTTCCGCAAAATGGAATGGGTCCACTCTCGATTGGTATGGGGACCCAACACYAACATGGAACGATGCGGCAGGATCAATCGAACGACATCTCTGGGWTCTGCCCGTCGTCGCAATTCCAACGTTCGCGTGTCGCCCAAACTCACACTCACAATGACCCCTTTTCGATTCAAATCCAGGTCCTTATCCCCGTGATGTGCAATGAAGTCCGTCCCGTCGCGATAGTAGTTAGTGACACAGTGGTTCATGGTCTGATGGACCAATGGCTTCAGTCGTTCCTCAACGGATTGTTTCAACTGCAAAGAAGTTGGACTCCATGCAAATGTCGTCCATTCATCTCCGGAATAATTTCCGGGATACCGGTATATTGGAATGAATCCGGCCGATAGATCAGCCTGCAGATTTTGCAATCGTGGGAGCTCCTCTCCTSCTGCACCCTTGAAGCCATCAAATTGTAGCTCCGATAGTATTCTTTCTTGTAGTAGTGGTAACGAATCCTTGGCACATTTACCATCATCRGATTTTGTTGTGGCCAGCGGAAGATCGTCTTCAACAATGTTCAAAATGAGTTCGCAATCACCAGCCCCCATACCGTAGATATCGTGTTCTGGCTCMCCCGCAAAATTTAATKCCCAAGGGACATTCGGGAAAAAGCGCCGATGAAGAGTTTGCCGCAAAATCGATTTGTAGCATCCACTTAGTCTCCCACATGTCACTCCCAGCAATCGTTCACCAAAATACCTTACAATTCCAACCATTAAGCCAGTCTTACCACTACTGTTGCTCCCTCCCACAAAATCCTCGGCAAAAAACCGTGAAAATTCCAAGGCCATCACCGGTCCGATAGAGTTCAACGGCTCCTTGTCTTCGTCCCACGTGATCTCTTTCCTTGAATCAAGACTCTTCCAATCATTGCTTGCATCGCCCCACTTTTTGCCACAGCGCCAGACGACCGGAATATGGGCAGCATCGGGATGGGACAGTCTAAGATGATTTTGATATTCCCGAACTTCTTCAGCCGATTCAACAGCAAAACAAAACCCAAGAAAGCGACTGTCCGCAATCCTTATTTCTCCTAATGGCGTTTGTGWTATCATCGTGCTCGACAAGACGTTGTTGAACTACCATGCATTTAACCCAAGACAGCTTAGGCCATAGGGTTTCAGTCTTCAAGAAAAAATAATGGCGATAGCATTATCACCATTTCTACGTATCACGTAGTACTGTAGTACGTGCAATATCGTATGATGTACGGTATGATATGATGCAGAATTCCAAACGATGTTCCGGGTACCGGCACGTACGGAGTAGGAGTACGTACTCGTACTACAAGCTACGCTACGGTTTGTTTACAAGTTCCACATGAAAAAAAAAATCGAAAATCGATGTCTAATCTCAAAAAATGTATCCAATCAAAGGAATTGAGTCGAGTGGATCGAATGAACCAATCAATCATCATTCCGATTTAGGATTTAGGATTTTGTTTCGATTTTCTTCCAAACACGTACGAGAACTAAGCGCGACACGGCACACTGCTTGCGACTCTGTCCAAGTCGTGAGAAACGAATCAGTCCAACTGCTGTTCCGTACGGTACGGTACATATGGTAAGTACTTCAGCGTACGAAACTCAGGAAGAATCAAGTCGACATCGGATCAAATTCGGAAGAAACTGCAGAAACATGATCGAAGAATGATCAATCAATCATCGTTCCTTTTCTTCTGGCACGGTTTCACTTGCACAGTTCCGTTTCACTGATTCGGTATGAATACCATAGTACGCATGGGTAACAGAATCATACCATAGATATTATTCTAAACAATTCGCTTAGCAGTGAACTAAGTAAAATCGCTCCACTCACTAACACAGGCTGGTGTTGCTCMGTAGGAATTCTAGCCGTCGGAAGGATCTYAGTGTCACGCACTCCGACAATCCGGAAATATCACGTCCCAAGGCTAAAGATATASGGCCTCTAKTGACCCATTCACGTCATCGATGAAGTGGTCAGGRTGTCGTCGYTGTCGGACCGTTTCAAGTAGGTACAAAGCCGCAAGGACAACTACGACCGATCTTCCAGGGATGCTACTAGGGTGTTTTTTTCTCCTAGCTCAGTGGAATTCTGGGRATTCACTCCAGCCGTTGCTACGGATCCCCAGGAAACCATCGCGGTCCTTAGCGGTATCCTCACTTGGGGTGTCTCAACGTTCTTCCACTCCTTCGTCGTGCGAAAGAGAAGATGCGTTTTCAGCGGCTCTAGCGGCAAGCGAAGGGAATTCTTCTCGACGGATGTTCTTTGCATCGACTCTAGTAGGCGCGGGTGTGTGGCTTGGCGAGGGACTRCCCCAGGCTGCTCTAGCGAAAACCACAGCAATGCAATCGAAAGATGGCGTTGAATTTCTATGGCAGAAAGATCCCATCAACCCGAAGCGATCAAGCTTTAAAGTCACGGATGCCGAAAAACGATACAACGTGAGTTTTGTGACATATCTTTCTCGGTTTCTTTTGAGTTTCGACCCAAAGGCGCAACAATGGTGGATGGATCGTGCGAAAGAAATCCCTAAAAAAACACCCAGGGAGGACATTTTYGACATTCGAGAGGAACAATTTGCTAGATTTGCAGCTTCTGTTGAAGTTGGTTTGCAGCAAGATGACTTTCTTGGAGAGGACGGCCCGAAACGATTGTTGGAAAGCCTGTTGAATCAGTTCGGAAAGCCGCATGATGATGCTGGTAGCTCCACTGGCACACCCACAGGAGACGAATCGGATAAACTCACAAAGGAACAGAAGGAAGCAAGACGACAGCTAGCATTGTTGTTTGGGTTGCTTGAGGAATCCCAACCGGTCGAAGAAATCACAGCGCTCTTGGCTTCCATCGATAACGGATCTATCGATGCAGTGGAACTAAGGGAAGACGCTCGGTCTGCTGGTTTGCTGAAAGGATTTTCACCKGAAGACGTGCCAATGATAATGTTCCCGCCACCCGAAGCAGGATCGAGTTACAAGCAGGCCACTGGCAAGGCTCTTTTGAAACCCACTGGTGAATTGTTACGCATCGAAATCATCGATGGAGGAGAAGGATACACCCAACCTCCGGATATTTCTGAGGAGATATCCGGGATAATGGATGGAGGCGAAGCGGCGACTWTCGATACAGCAATTGCGAAAGGAGTATTGAAAAGCATAAAGCTCACAAAGAAAGGTTCTGGCTACAGTCAAGATTGTATCGTGAAAATGACACTGAAGCCTCCTACAAAAAACACCGGGAAACCCGCAGTWATTCGCATTGTCCCGGAAATGGAGATATCCAAAGTAGAGATGGACGAAGTTGGATCTGGTTACGCAGTGGAGAAGCCCATCAAAGTTACGCTGGTTTCCAAGGCTAGGGGCGAACCCCAACTTATTGGAGTTGGGTATCCCAAGGGGAAAATGGGTTCATTCATGGCCGCTCGGCAACCTAGCGAAAACAAAATACGTAATTTTGAGCGAGAACTCATCAGCGAAGAGATAAAAGTGGTCAGCGGRGCTTCGAGCGGTGGGAATCTTCCCTCTACCCCGTTCCCCGAAAAGGCATCGTCTTCGCAACAACTTTTGGCTCTGCTCCCACAAGGATTTGGTTTGGAATTCGATACAAAGAAAAAATACTATGTATTGAGTGTGAACAAAGAATATCAAAGYTTATATCCGTCTATGGCCCTGAAAGCTCCCAACAGGCCATCGGTTCCCGATTTTGGCCCACGGGGCCGGAATCCCATCGAGCGGGATCAACGAATAGATGTATCAACGTTTTTGCGCTTTGTTCTTTCCGGTGCAATTTGTTGCGGCGGTGTTAATGTAGCACTCACACCATTGGATCTGGTGAAAACCAAGGTTCAAATCGATCCCTCCCGATATCCCAAAGTTCTACCTGCATTTCAATCGGTGTGGARAGACGAGGGCCCTAGCACTTTATACACGGGCTGGGTGCCTACACTTAGTGGGCACTTCATTGCTGGTGGTGTGCTTTATGCCACAACGGAGGTGATCCGCCGATCGCTAACTGAAGCAGTTGGAGTCAATGCAATGTCTCTAGAAGTTCCGATCATTTTGGCTGCTGCGGGTTTCTCCTCTGGCGTCGCGGCAGTCCTTTATTGTCCATTTGATGCGGTAAGGATCCGACTCGTAGCCCAACCTGATTATGGAAAGAATGCATTCAAAACGGTGTCTCGTATGGTGAAGGAAGAGGGGATCGATTCCTTGACGAACGCAATTCCTGTGTTTGTTGCAAAACAAGTCCCGTATGCAGCCGTCAAATTTTTAATATTTGATTTGAGTACCGAATATTTGTACAAGGCTTTTCCTCTAGCGCAGGAGGATCTGAAGCTATCACTCGTAATCAGTCTGACYGGGGGTATTCTAGCCGGGATAGCCGCGGCGTTCGTGAGTAATCCGGCCGATGCTGTCATTTCGGAGCTCAAGAAAGCCAAATCCGACCAATCACCCCAAGAGGCACTCCAAGCATTGCTGGATCGAGGGGGCTCTGAGGCATTATTCAAGGGTCTTTCAATACGAATGGTYCTTTATTCACTSACCGCAGCTTTTCAATTCTTGATCTACGACGGTGTTCGGTTTGCTCTGGGAGTAGGACCGGACGATCTGCGCCTATATCTAGATGTTTTGGGTGAGGCTCTTACCACGAATGCGTGATCATCTTTGAGTTTCTATATTCTATACATCCCTGACGAACTGAGTGACGACGTGTATAGTGTAGTAATTATAGATTGGTCATGAGCCACAGCGTTTTCTATATTTATATCGCTTAAGCACTTATGCAGCTACCCTTATGACTGTTTAAATGACAAAATAAGTCACTGTACTTCATCTACCGTACAGACTGGAAATTGATTTTGATAAATCTTTGATTCGCACATACTACTTTCTTCCCTGCAGTTTTCCCATGAATCTCTMTTATATTTCTCTGGTCTAGTATATCACTTCCTAGTACACCATTCTGTGGTCAATACAAAAATACAACACCGTCATGTTATCCTACGTACGATTCCCCACAACTCATCTTGCTTCRAATTGAATCACTGAAAAGGATCAAGCGAAGTGTGAGTGTAAAAAAAGGGAGTAAAGAATTAAAGGATATACCATCGGTTAGAGTCAAACTGGCCCAGCAATTGTATTTGCGCAATGTAGGAAATAGAAGACCAGATTGGACTGGCTGATTTCGCATGCCGACAGCATCTGAAAAATTCTGCCACTCATTTCTKGGTAATGCATTCAATCATTATTTGCGCTGAAAACCAAACTCACATCTCTTTGTTCGTGTCTTGTAGAGGATACGGAACCCACACTGACGGCATCTTACGGGGTCTCCCCCCTTGATGATATTCTTTGCGCCRCAATCACCGCATCTGTATTCGACACCACGAATAATCGGMACGGGATTGATCCCGCTGCCGGTTTGCATGGTTGCGCCAGGAGTGCTCATTATCGATCTGGGATTTCGTTTCTATCTCGTGTGACTTGTTGCTCTCTTGGTTCTTTGACTGTCTCGTTTGTGAACTGCATCAAACTCGGTCTAGTTGTTTCACTCGATCAAATCACAGGCAGAAWAAAATCCATCGCAGGCACAAAAACGACGTCGTTGGCGTTTGGACTTTTCGAAGTCTGTCCGTCGATCGAAAAGGAGAGGAAAAAGGCCCTTTTTTTGAAACATTTAAAAAATCGGAAGTGAAGAACGAAACACTGTGAAACAAAAACATCATCATTATCTATCTCACATCCGGTATCTTCTGTGTTACGCTCATTGAACATCGTAGCAACCMAACACGACACACCAGCAAACCAGAAAGAACGGAATAGAGAAAACTATTCGAAGAGTTCCTGACCAATAGCATCTGCTTTGAAACGAGCATAACGCGTCCGTGATTGATTCAACCGCYCACTCCGTGCRGTTTTGCTAAAAAATGATCCCGCGGCAATTATCGTCGATCACTAACATACGTTCATCATCCCTGCTGTTGTTGCAAACGGGAAGGGCCTTTGCCACTTCGGCGCAAAARCGGAAATGGCGAAAAGAACAAGGACGGAGCAAGCCGTTCGTGAAAAAGAAGTACGCCGCTGCCTTGGTGGAAGAGAACCACGRCGCCAAAATGGCCYCCGTCWATTGGCGACCCCTGTTCTTCCTMGGTGTCTTTCCGGTATTCCTGTCGATTGTTTTGGTTCTTAATCGGGACGATCTACGAGAAGAAGTGAACGACAAAGGAATCGGAAGATTTTTAGAGGATTATAAACGATGGCGGCGGGCACCACCTCGAACTCCACTTCCTCCCACAGAAGAACATCAACAAGAAGAACACGAAAGCGAATATGAAACAATGCTGAAAGAACTCGAAGCACACCAGAATGTTGCTAGCAGACAAGCAACCGGCAACATTAGTTCCAATCCGTAAAAAACCATATCGAATCTATATCAACAAGTGGTTGGCATGTACATCGATGCCATAAGGAGTCATCAAAAGAGGACAGGTTTGAAGTAGGCCATGGCGGTGGATATGAGCGTATCAATTACTTTTATTGTTTCCATGATGTTCCTTCCTTGCTCTGCTGTACCATGATCTCGCCGGTCATCTTCATCACTTCCGCAGCTGCCACTCGTGCACTCTCGGAATCGATTGTTTCTCCGGAAGATGTTACCCAGCCAATTTGTCTGCTGTCGATCGCAATGGTTGTGTCATAGGACGACTGGTGTGAAGGATAAAAGAAGTATTCTCCTGATAAGATCATGGCACATGCCCGACGAACGACGCGATCTAGGTCAATTTTACATACTTTCCAGAGCGCTTCGATTTGAAGGGTTTGCAGCAAGGTTTGCTGGGCTTGGAGCTTTCCCAAGGCCTTCTGTTCCTCTTCCAGCTCCTCAAGGCTGTCATAATCATCGACAATATCGTCGCCCCCAATGTAATCGTCCATCTTTGGCAAGAAACTACTTGAGCTTCCTACACTGCTTGGTGATCCATGATACTCCAATCTTTCCAAAGATTCTTGCTTTCGTTGTTGCTTTTCTTGTTGTTGCAACATCAACTTCTTTTCCTGTTGGTTGAAGGAACGCTCTGCTATGGCGACGCGACCACTCACGGCAGCTGCCTCTAAGAAATCTTTCGTAGAACGCCATCGCCGCCGGAATCCAATTTTCAGATCGGTTTTTAGTTGGAGTACCATTTCCTTACCGCTGGTCAGTTTGTTGTAGGGTTTGGTATTCTGACTCCTTCTCTGAGTGTGCCAACTATACACGTCATTATTATTATTGGTGTGCTTGTAGCGTTGCAAAAATTCGCTTCCCTCGTGGCGGTAGGCCCTGCCCACRGAGCGGATGATCTGCGCACCGAGTGGAAGTCGTTTCCAACGATCGCAGTCTTGGGTCAGCATCTGGGCGTATAGTCTAGCATCGAGCCTTCCCTCGACCACTGGTCGAATGGACTCGAGCAACAAGGCAGCTACCGTGCGAACTCGATGTTCTTCCAASGCCTTGAACGGATCGTCAATGTCGCCGTTGTTCGCTGCTTCTGTYGCCATTGCCAAAGCTTCCATAGAATAATCGTCATATCCCATCAAATGCAACAACTCTCGGTCGAGCTTGTCAAACAAGGTTGTGGTCTTTCTGTTGCTGTGTGTGTGTTTCGARGACGAACTCGAATAACTGTTTTGTTGTTGCTGTAGCAGCTGATAATAGTTGGCGGGAGAAACTCTCGGCCCGAGCAACAAAAACGCAGCGAGATTGGGATCCACCAAACCATACCGGTGATATGGTAGGCGTTTGCTATCGTCGCTAAGAATTTCGTAGGCTTTTTGGATTCGCTGAAGCTTTTCCTCGGCATACTGCCTCGGTGTTTCTTTTCCCCGGTGTTGCTTTTTGTCCGGATGATATTTTCGTGATAGTGTCCGGTARTTCTTGGAAATCTCCGCGAGCGTTGCRTTGGGACTGACGCCGATGATGTCGTAAAGATCCGTGTCGTGCGGAGGAAATTCAGAGTACACTTTGTGCACTTTCAGAGCGGTCTCAAACAATTCCGGAGCCTTTTTTGCATTTGCAACAGGGACACCGATCGTTACAACAATATTCGTCGTCGCTATCTTCAAAATTGTCATCGCAATCATCGACACAGCATTGACTATGCCGAGAGCAGCAGCGAAAGTCGAACGAARCTTCATTTTCCTTGGTCGAGAAGTTAATTGGTTGCATCAGGTGGATTGTGGAAAGAGTKAGAGAATTCCAACCTTGAGAAATCTCGAAATGCACCATTTTGAATTGATATTCAACAAATCGAAACGTGTAGATTTTTTTATCGATCGTGTCATATCCTCATAAGGTACGGYACGTACGTACGAAAACTCGTAGTGTGCTCACATCGAACAGGTACGAGTACTACCGTACGATACGTACGTATAGTAATGATGGTTGCAAGTCGCAAGTCTCAAGTCGTCGCAAAAGAGAAAAGAGGGTTTGACTTATCATATGTACCGTACGTTTAATACTAGGGTAYAATATGGTCAAAGCTTACGCACGCGTCACCGTTCGGTACAGAAAATTGAAAATCGTACTTCAAAAATCATCAACGATCAAGCGCCTAYGAGTACCGTACGTACTACCAGGTACGGTACAACCATACGATCACACCACCACAATCCATCATCATTCTTGTTTTCTTTCTTCCTCCACTTGACTCGTCGACGTTGGAAAACTTCTTCCACATGCCGTCTCGACTGGATCATATCAGTCTCGAACACTCTTCTACTACTGCAACCTGTTACTCCTCATCTTGCTTTTTCTTCCTGTACYTCAARGAAAGGGTTGACTGATTCCATTTCTCCTGAGTGAAGCCCTGCGGTACACCTGTAAGACAGCGCCCATTCTCATAACCCCAACAATCATCGCGAGCAATTTGTCCGACCAATATATCCACAACGACACGACGAAAACAAGATGCCTTACTCCTCTRCCGATGGACACGTCGTCGCCAACAAAAACAACAATACAAACTCCGTATCGAAACGATTGCACCATMAGTACTACACGAAGTCTCAAACATCGCCACTGGTCAGAGTCGCCATGATTGCGTCTACTCTGGCCGTAGTTGCCGGCAGRGCTGTGGCATTTTCGTCGAACAATGCGAGATCCACTTTTCTCCGACGGCACTCCAATATATCGAGGCAATGGGCGACAAAGGGCTTGTGCTTCGACGCGCCCCGATACACCCGGGGATTGTTTATGGCGGCCATGACGGAGGCAGACGRAGCCGCGGACATCGACATCGATCGCACCTGGAACCTAGGAGGCCTCCGAAAGGAAGTCACCCGTTTGACCCTTCGATGCCACAAGAAGACAGGAAAAGCAAACCAGCGACTCCAGAAAGCCCAGGAYGAAGTGGAGCGACTGACTGGATCCGACGATGTGTCGATGGAAGAATTGGAGAAGTGTCCGAACCTGGACGAGCTGGAAGCCCAGGTGGAGGAACTCCGAACCCGGCTTGCGCAACTAAACSAGTTGGAGGAGTTGTTGGCAGACGTGAAGGGAAAGAACGTTGTCCTACCCGAAGAAATTGCATCGCTAGCAATTGCTCTGGAAGTCAACGACGAGCCTCCAAAACGACAGGAACGAGGTCCCAAGAAGAAAAAAGGTCCCAGGGTCATGAATTCGTTCCGCCTTCCATACCGTCGATTCTATACCGCAAACAAAACGGAAATCCGGGTAAGTGTTTCGTTTTTCAGCAGTTACAGGTTGCCCTGCCCGTTACAACTGGTYATCCTTTTCTGACAACCGATGTCCCCGGTATTCTGCSCGTATTTTTCTCTCAGGTCGGAAAACAAGCAGAGGACAACGATGAGCTATCCATCAAACCCGAACACAGAGATGGAGCAGACTGGTGGATGCAGTACGTGTCAAATTGTTTAATTTGAAAACGCTGTTGGTGTGGCCCTCGAACCAAAATAGAGGCGTGTTTGCTGGATATTCTTCCCCCCTCGCCTTTTTCTTTCTCACCGTGGCTCACAAACAAACTTGTTGTTGCGAAATTACATCTCCAGCGCCTCGGGCTGCCCCGGAAGCCATGTGGTGATCCGTTGCCACGATCAGAATCTGAATGACGAGGTCGTCATGGACGCGGCAGCGCTAGCAGCCCGGCAATCCAAGTGCAGCGGTGGCGTCATCAAGGTCAGTTTGACGCGGGCCCGCGACGTCAAAAAGCCTCCGGGTGCCAAGGCTGGACTGGTCATGCTGACGGGCAATGTTCGCACCGTCTCCGTCAACATGAAACAGGCCCAGGAGCGCCTCGATCGACTCGACAAAACAGTGCTCGTGAATTAGCCTTTACCGTACTCAGTGGGGTATTACAAAGAAACCACCTAGCATGCAGTTGTACGACTCGTACTGACTGACAAAACGTTGCAATTAAACTAGGAACGAGACGGAGGTAAATGGGGTTAGGAAAGCAATGTCAYTTTCCTTTAGAGAACCTTGGTACTGGTACAAGTCAGAATAACAACTAGGATGTCTACTTCTACAACAATGGTTATCAAACAGGTCAACTATTGAGGTTGCATAACTAGTATTCCATCCGAGTTCCATTCTTGCAATGACATGAACATGGATCCCAGATCTATTGCTAGAAATCGACCAACAGTATACACCTTTCATACCGGTATTAGAAGTATAAATTCAATTAGTCGTACAGTAGTACTTATTTCTTTCGTGTTGTTTGTCATGAAAAATGAGAATATCCGGTTCTCTTCTATGGAAGGGCGGCTGGCGCGCTAAAATGGATGGGAGGCCAGGTTTTGCGAGAAAATTTGAAACGAAAACTCGGGCCGACCCGCCCTCGGCACTCACCGGTGCGCCCTCCTGTACGAATACATACCTCCTGTACTACAACGTCTGTTCTGGAGTGAGAACAAGCGGTATGGTGAGAGGTGATTTACGATACTCCAATTCATTTCAGTACGTTTCCTACTGTGCGGTACGTACAATACGGAGCCCTCCAACAGGAACCACGRAAGCTGCTGGCAATCTCGAAATTGGCACGATGCTCCATGTTTCTCTCGCGATCGTGCCGTACTCGTACTTAACTTACCGAAAACACCTCCCGGAAACGACCACTCCATCATCCGCTGCCAGCGCTGTGCAATACCTCCATGTCGTCTCTTCAGAAAGCAGTGGCCGAAATCAATAGCACCGGCAACGCGAAATCCGGAACCGCGACGTCGTTCGAAGTGGGCGGAGCCGGACCAGGATCCGCCGGTGCCTACAAGCGTTCCGAAAACCTCGGGGCTGCTGCTTCCTATACGGTTGGCGAGACGGGGGAAGCGCCGAAAAGTACCCGCAGGTACAGCGGCAACAAAAATGCTGCTTCGTATACCGTTGGTGAAACCGGGGGAGCCAAAGGAAGCAGCAATGCCAAGAGCAACAAGGTCGTAAAGGTCACGAAACATTTCACAATCATTTCTGATCGCGACTACGAAGAGGAGAAAAAGAATTCTAGTTCTGCAATGGATCTCGACTACCACGACGTCCAAACCAGCATGGACGTAGACGACAAAACCGGCAAACGAGCGCCGGCAATGCGTCGTTCTTCGTCGAAAACGCAGACTTTTTGTCACATCGGAGGGACGGAAGAACAACAAACCAACAACGTGCACACCATTGGTGTTGCAAGCAACGATTCCGCCGAGGACGAGCGGCAGATCGAGCAGATGGAGGGAGTCATCGATCAGGGCACAAAGATGCCGCTAGTGGTCCTGGACGGAGCCAACGTGGCCTACGCCTACGCGAAAGTCATGGCGGAACTGAACGGTGGTCCTTCCCTCAACGCTCCGTCTTCCCAACTCAAACCCGATGTTCGGGGCATCCAGATCGCGACCGACTTTTTCCTGGACGCCGGCCTCAGGGCGCTTGTTGTCTTGCCTCAGTATTGGTTCGGTGGAAAGAGAAGCACGACGAACGCAATCACGGTGACGTCGCAGTTGGAAATCCTGAGTGACCTGAAAGTCAAGGGRCTGGTCGCGGTCTCCCCACCGACCGACGACGACGACGCGTACGCCCTCACTATCTCGCGGCGGGARGAGAGCCGGTCCCTGAAGCCACCCCGGAAYGGAGAAGGACCGGGATTCGTTTTGTCGAACGATTTGTTTCGAGACGCGCAAGACAGAGAACCCCCCAGCGGGACGCTGAAAGAGTGGCTCACAACGGGTCGCAACGAGAAGGTCGGACCGGGAAGAATCTCGTACACCTTTGGCGACATGGGTAGCATGAACGATCGCGGGGAACGCATCCTCGACTTTGTGCCCAATCCCAGGCATCCTCTGGTTGTTTGGATGGAAAACAAAGGCACGAGCATTGACTGCACCTACTGTTCGTAGTTGAGAGAAAGGGATCGATTCGTAGCCGTGTGTGTTTGATGGTGCGTCAGTGTCCGAGGATGCCTGGTCTTTCSTTGGAGTTCGAATAACAAAGCGGTGTCTGCCTACCTAGCAGCCTGTGTTTTATTGGATCGAACACAGAGTTGCGGAAATCATATCAGACCACTCGCTTGGGTGATTCGGATGTTGCATGATTTCGCCTAAAATGCCTATAAAATTACTTTATACTGCCAAGAACGCGATACTGCGATACATTCAACTTGTTTGTTCTCCTAATTGTTCTACGAAAAGCAGTTATTCTTGGTATTTCATCTTTCGTATTGCAATTATTGGTTTTAGGATATACGGAATGCGCTGTATGAAATATTCGGAAGCGTTGTCCGTTGTTGCTTGATTATTTCAATTTATAAATTATTTTTGAGCGTCGCTCTTTGTATTATTATTCAATATGATTTTGTTCTTGATTCATAGCTTTCGATTTATSCAAGCCGCACGCACAACTTGTAATAAATTTGTCCAGTGCATGGTGTCGCACCCCGATTCGTTCTTTCACGCCAGACCCTTTCATTGGCTGATCGAATAGAATCTATCTCRTGATTCCGGTGAAAAGAAGACCGACTCGTTTGGCTTTTATGRCYTCTAAGGAATCCGAACCGGTGTTTCGTCCCTTTTTGCCACGAAGCCTCTTGAGCTTGCCCTTCACACTAGCGTTCTCGCCTTTGTTTCTGATACGCCGATACAGCGATTCCGCCACGGAATTTCCCGACGATGACGCAATTCCTCTGATTCGCAGGGTCCATTCTCTCTCAGGATACATGCAGAAGACTTCGTCCAGGTGATCAAAACTGTTCGCGGAAGGGTCCGAATCGGYGCACCAAAGAAGGCACTCCCTTTCATCGTAGGAAGCAATATCGTTCAGCTCGTGAATTCGATGAGGATCCTGGCTTTTACCAGCATTATATTCGATGAAAGAAGCCTCCGTATCGAACGTAGCCGACCACAGTTTTCCCTGTTTCAATAGGTCGTAGCTGCCATCTCCGTCGCCGTAGCTGCCAGTTGGTGCCGTCGTCGTCAACACTTCAACGCAGAAATCACTCGGCTCGCAATAAACTTGCAACTCAATTGGATGGCTATGTGTCGATGTGGAGCTGTCCATGGTAGAACTATGAATTATGATAACAAATTTATTTATGTTATCGATATCCTGAACGAAATGGAAAAAATGAGCGATTGCGCAGTGACTTGAGAAATAGAATTGATCGCTTTGGAGGGAGTTGCGAACGCCGGTGTTTTTAGTCAAGTACTGAAATATGCCGCGTCTCATTCCCCTACATAACTGTTTCTCAAGGGAAGTATCGTCAAATTTGTACGAGGTTCTACTACACAACCATTAAAAATAATACTACGGTACTATAATGGATTTTTTAAGCGAGTATGGATAAAATTTTCCGATGGGACGCAATTGGTTTTGAAGAAAAGGTCGTGAAGAGTGATAAAAACAAATCAAGTCCGGGAGTAAAGCTATCGCCGATTTTSTGCACGACTGCCCCCGAGTCGGAAATGCTTTGCTTCCTCGGAAACACASTTTGCTCCACGACTCGAAGTTAGGTTTCATTGGAATTTTGAAAGACAAAAAACGAATGAAACTCTGATGGTCTGCACATTAGTTTAATCCCATGTTCGGTTCTCAAGAGAATCAAGACTTGACATTTAGAGAACCTCCATTAACAAYCAGGATCCATCCCCTAACGGCAGCAAGCTCCACAGCAGCTCGGAAGYACGAAGAATGAAACATGCAGCATGCAACAGTAACTACAATACTCTTATTTGCAGAAGTATGATGAGAAGACCATCACCAAGAGTGAGATTGAGACTTGAAGAAACAATATGTTTGAAGCACGCGAATCTATTTTCAAACCTCGTCAGTTGAGAGACAATARCGATGGTGGTAAGGTMGAAGGCGAACTTGGGGGCAAGACGCAACAGATAAAGACCAAAATATACGATGCAACAATGATCTCGACCSAGACAGAAATCGTGCGAAATCGATCGCACGATACGCAGACCACAGATAGTAGTAGTGGGATGCATTCGATGAACAGTAGTGGCATCCACTCGCTAGATCTGYTGAAGGAGATATACCCTCCKTTCTCAGATTCAGAATTAGAACAYGAAGATACCAWGGAAGAATGTGACGATAAAGAAACCGTCATCCACACGAACAGCACCARGGGAAGCACCTTGAAGACAGATAAACACGATGAAGAGGTCGCAGGCAACGATTTATTTCTCTCSTACAATAAATATCTGTCCTCGCTGAATGAAATCGGGATAACTTCACAATGGGAAGAGGRCAAACCATTCGATGAAGAATCACTGAGAGCATTGTCAGAAATAGCTTCTGAGCAARGAGATCGTGTCGGCATTGTCAATTCGAAGGACGTCCACCCCGTAGAGGAATACATACTCCCTCCCGTCACTGGCCAAGATATCCTCAAAGATATATCACGTTACGATACGAAGTCGTACGATTTCGTGAAGAAATCGTCCGACACAACGAATACAACGGCGCCGATTGTACATAGTCTACKAAGAGACGAGGGATACCAGGACCAATCAGGCAGTGAACCTCTTTCATCAAGTAWAGYAGGCGACAACGRAGCAAAGGAGTCCCAAGGAAAATCACAGAAATTTCGTTTCATCGCTATTCTTTTGATCATTACTTTGTTGGCTAGTGGCCTCCTTATCGGTCTATTGTTGTCACGCAAGAAAAGGAATGKAAACTCATTGAACAACGAGACGGCAGCAGCCTCATCGAACCTTAATGACACATCCGTGGCAAAGGATTTAACCAACAGTCCTACTGATAGTACTCAGCTTGATGTACCTAYCACAGCTCCATCACCTATAGCTCCSTCTGGTCGTCCATGGAACGATAACCTGCCACCTGCACCTACGAACTCATTCATCGAAACTCGTTCTTGGGGAACTCTAGTCAMCTATTTGGATCCCGTCCCAGATAATTTCTTCCCGCTCGAACAATGYACAGGTGATTGTGACAACGACGATGACTGCGACGGAGGTCTCATTTGCTTTCAGCGAGGAGCAAACGACCCAGTCCCCTTCTGTTACGGTGGGGAGAACGACTACACCGCAACGGACTACTGCACATTTCCAGATTACGATAGTAACGCCTATGTCGTCGAGCCCCCTTCGGAACGAGAAGAATTGATTGAATGCACTACGACCATTTCTGCTGTYCAAGATTGTTATTTTGCGGAGGCGAATGTCTTGGTGGTAGATTTCGAAAACTGCAACCCCGAAGAGGAAGATTGGATAGGAGTTTTCCCCGATGGGATGTCATTCGACGACGGAAGCTCAGCCACGGAATGGGTTAGTGACGACTGGATCGACTGGGCGTTTACGTGCGGAGATTCAAACTGTAGTGACTCTCCAACGACGAACTCTTTCGCATTTCCAACCAACAATAACCCAGGGTACGAATTGGTATCTCTTCGAGTGTATATGCTCCGAAATACCAGAGGGGGTGCCCCATACGAAATTATAGCCCAAAGCGAATCCTTCATTGTAACAAATATCTGTGGACGAAAGTAAGTCCTCTCGAACACTGAAAGCAAGCAATATTTTTTATTCCGCAGCAACAAGAAATGAAGTAAATCTCGATGTTCTTACGTATTCAATAGCTCTACACAACGCATGGCAACACGATTCATGACCTAGAAAACGAACAGGATTTAGTTTTTCATCCATGTTTCAAAAACATTATTCGCAATAATAATCAATAATAATGCACTTCTGTTTTTCTAGACATCAAAACCTAACGCCACTGAAGTTTGAATTCTATTTCACAGGAGCCAAGATTATATTTGCGTCTCCCACCACTTTGAAGGAAGAGCTAGTATCAAAACACGTTGGCAATTATTCACTCCTATAAATAAAATACATTTGTACTGATGATATCCCGTTGTTATCAACAGAAGTGCATGAGATTCCCCTGCTACAATGATTTCTTATCGAATGCCAAAATCGTATTTGCAGCTCAGGACATTGTAGTGCTCTGATGTAAAACACTTTTTTAACAACTAACCTGACGACGGCATTTCTAAGGTTAATAATTCGCAAKGAATAAAACAGAAGAGTTCATAGTTCACTTCCCAGTGAATCCTGTATCATTGCTTGCTTTCTGGGCCTTTTGTGACTCAGGCATCGATCGAACATCAACAGGGTTCGATACTTCAGATCCCTTCGTGATCGATGTTTCGTTTGGAAGACATTCAAGTTCTTAATCAAGCGCTTTTWCCGTACCGGTTCGGCATGAAGCGCGATGGAACATTCGAACTGTAAATACGTAGTATGTCTTTCCACCGGTACGAGAACATGTACGATCCTGGAATATGTTTGTTCTGTGGTTAAACACATAGTATGGTAACCACTTAGTCGAATACTTCTGATACTACAGTACGTAAAGTAACGCACGGTTGGGGCCCGATCCATTATTATACAGGTACGACTAAGAGTTGGCCGCAACAAATCCTAATTATGGTCCACACGACACAGAAACTTAGAAGGTTGAACTCTGGTCGTATTCGTKAGAAATTGAAACGTGTAACGATGAAATTGAAAGGATTTACGTCGATTGGACGAAATCAATATATTATTTAGTTTTAGCGCCTTAAATGTTGTTTTTGCGGTTTTGAAAGGATCCTGTATTGATGGTTCAACCGAACAGATTCGCAAAAAATATTCAGTGCTTTCAAGCTTCAATCGAGCATGACCGTCTTGTTTGGCATAGACATAACACATTCAAAGAATGCTAGAAATGAGTCGACTTCGTATTAAAAATCACCTGAACGGAAAGTATGCATAGCACCTCGCCATACACCGTGCGTATGGTAAAGGCTGGCTCGTGCACGAGAGGCTCGAAATACGGGGTCTTTTTCTTGGGGTGGGGTCATATTGTACCGTATGGCAGATAATGCCTACCGACAAGAGAGGGAGTTTCGCCAGAAGTGAAACTTGCGATCACAACGCATACGCATACACGTGTGATACGAGATTCTTGTACTAGTACTCACTACTTCGTCCGATGATTATTACCGCACAATTTTTTGTTAGTGTGCACTTCGTACCTTATTGAACGGCGGTGTACGGTGAAAGGAGTGGTTTTTAGGTTCTCATAAACCAAACGGACAACTCAAACCGAAAAGCGGAACGAAAATCAGGCAGTTTACTGCACATCACCCAACAACAGCAACACAAACACATACCGAAAACAAGGAMAATATGGGAGTGAATAACCGCCGCCAACTCCTTGTAAAAGTTGGAAGCTTCATGAAACTCTCGTGGAGGGCATCAAGAGAGAACCTGATAGAAAAAGACTAYAGTGAAAACGATGACCACAGTGCTGGCAATCAACGCCGGAGGGGGGGTGAYAGGAAAGGCAAACGGAGACGCAATTTGTTTGTTACATTTGATGATGAAGTCAGTGAAATACGGAGCACTTACAACGAACCACTTTCAAAAGAGGGGATAGAGGCTAGATGGTATCAGGTGCGATGGAAATATTCGAACAACAAAACATGTTCTTCAAGTTTTTCTGTAAACTTACATGCGCTCTATCGTTTTTTGGTTGTKATTTATCTTTTACCTTTGTTCCATGCTCATGTTCATGTAGAGCGATGACTTTAGTCGATTTAAAAAAGACACTGTCCTATGCTCGTTGAACTATATGAATGCGAGACGGGCACGGAAGCCAATAGACGAGACATATAATTGTATCCGGGGAATCGAAGACATGTGCATACRGGATAATGCCGTGCGTCAGCGACACATAGCTGAAAAGAAATATAGTTTCAAAGTTATTCGCGACGAACAAGSCCGGCAAAAGAAAGAGCTCCAGCTGAAACAAGAACAAAAATACGATCGAACAACAATAGACAAGACTAAAAWTWWTTSTGCTWTCTTCAACATGGACGATGAAAAGCTCCGATCCGCGAGTCTCGTTTATACGAGGGGCGCTCGTGATCGTGCTCTCGGCCGCGGCATTGCATATGCTCGTGCCGAGCAGTCTTTTGCATCAGCGAAGTCTSCTTCGATGAAAAATCTATTCAAAGCTGCACGCCGAACTCAATCTGCTACGATGGTATYATAGTTCTCTTGGTAGGGTACCAAATGAATCATGCGAAGAGAAGTAAAAATGAAAACGCAGGGGGTTCGGTCGCGATTGGTTGGCAGAAAGGGATCTGTAATCAACGCGTCGCGGGAAGATTCAAATAAAGCAAGCTTTAACTTCGTTTTCGGCGGTGCAAATGCGCGTCACGGTACGCGTACGACAATTTTCAAGAGACAGCCTTTCCTATGCGATGTTCGCAAAGAATGAATGAAGATGGATATCTGTCTACATAAGAGGGAAAAAGCAGCACCCAGCCACTATGGCTATAAAGTGGTTTTCAGTTGCGTTCGCGATGATAGGCAAAGCAAATACTTTTSTTGACTCAAGACGATTTTTTGTACAGATCTATATAATACTGGATTGTAGCAAAAAGAATAATAATAAATGCAATTAAAATTCACCTGATACCACTTTTATTGTTGTCTTCAAAGTCAGGTACGCCATCTCCTGTGTGGAATAATTAAAACTTCAATTACGAAGCAAAGCGAATTTAATCCAATCCAATCCAATCCAATCGAGTCGAGTCGAATGTAGTACTACGTAATATCTAATCGCTTTCATCAGAGTCATCAGAGTCTTCTTCGCTACTTGAATCACTCAGATTCATCGTGGTAGCTATCACTGGTCGCGCCACTCTTCGTTCAAGACTAGTAGATCGCGCCCGAATATGCGGCTGCAAACGAGCCCGCTGTTGTTTATTAGGAGAACCTTTCCTGTCCTCTGTTGATGTCAGTTTTTTGTCGTCAATATCACCGTCGCCATCGCCATCGATTTCCATTTCCATTTTTTTCTTATTGGTTTCCTCTTCTTCCGTTTTCTGTTTCTCCTTTTCTTTGTTCTGTTCTTCTAATTCTTCTAGTCGTTTTCGCTTCTTGTCTCGTTCGGCCTGTCGAGCTCTTTGCAATTCGAGCGCCGCCAGAGCTCCTCCTCGCAGCTGATGCGGCAGCGGATTGGGGGTCGAAAAGCCGATCACCGGGGCGTTGGGGTTCCATCCGGCCGGCGCACTCGTTCGACCGGAAAAGTTCCGAGCGACCGCCAGAACCTGCTGCGCTTCGTTCATGCTAGTCGGAATCGGACGGACGCGGATGCCCACTCTGCTTTTGTTCGTTGCGGAGGTAGTCAACCACGGCTCTACCTTTTCGAGTGTCTTTGTCAGAGAGCGCTCGAGGTCGATCAACGCCTTCGTCTTTTCCAACAATGTCATAGTCGACGAYGTCGTTGTGGCCATGTTAGATTGGATCGACAGAGAGATCTTTTGCTCGAGAGATTTGTTTCTGATATTGGGATGTTGTCGATCGGTTTCGTGCTTGGATTTGAATAAAGTTGAGATGAGAGCAGATTTGAAGATTAGAGATAGTTACAACTTCTAAACCCTTCTTGTTTGACCGTTTCGCTAATGGTGGAACAGTCAGGTTCAGACGTATTGACGGTGCTCGCAGTTGTACAAAACCAAGAGATAGAAATACGAGTACGAGTACCGTACTGTGTGGCACGAGCACCGCACTTCTCGTACCGTATTCTTTCTTGATGAACCCCAACCAACCTCGCCAAGAACCCAAGAGGACGATCTACCGTACCTACGGTATCGTACGGTACTAGGACACAACCCTATTCACGATGTTTCAGATTTACGAGCTCGAAAGTGGTTCACCAAAAATATCGATTCACGAAACGTCTTCGAGTCACGAAAGGTTGTCATGTTCTTGCCGGTTGTTCCGACGAAAGCTTGTGCTCGACAGAGAATGATGAATGAACAATCATCATCAATGGATCAAGGATAGACTCCTGTACAAAGAAAGAACTGAGATTCTAGCGAAGACAAATCACCTTGACTATGCTTAGCAGGCTTCTAATTTTCACTTTATGCTTGAGGAGAACGGTATGTCTCGCATCTTCGTCTTCGTCTTCCAATCCTCGTGGCCCTCTGGACAACAGCWTTGATGGCGAAAACAGCAAGGCGCAATATTCTTTTAAGGATCCTATTCGAATTGCTTCCTTGAATAAAAATGGGGGAAATGTAAAATATTTCGATCTAATTCCAGAGGAAGACCCGAACGGCGAAGACGATACAAAGGCTCGGTCAAGAAACAAACATCCCCGGTCTGTTACCGCGGCACTCAGCAGAAAAATAATGCCGGCACTGAGGACCACCTTTCTACCGATCGGGTTTCCGGAAAAAACTCCCGCCGGTTATTTGAAGTTCTCGGCATGGAGCTGGGTTCAAGACACTTCGACGCAGCTTCGCTCGGTCCTAGCTACGCAGAAAGTGYTGGAGGGGGTCGGCGTCGGAAAAGAGGGCGCAACGGCGCTCTCGGCATTGTTCAATTATTTGGTGCGTCGTTTGTTTTTTTGTTAGAGTGTGTAATATGCTCGTGATAATGAAGGATGGTTCATTCGAGGAAAGAGGAGGCTCATTTCGAACGATGCCTACAATGGAAAAACTATCCCCAGTGTAATATACTCACACTCCTTCATTCATCATGATATTTTCTGTATATCTACTATCAACCGAATACAACTATATACTTGTTACAATTTTCCCCCTTTGCCTCAACGACTATGATGAAAGGTCCGTGATGGTTGTGGAATGTTTGCGAGTAAGTTGTTAGTCGACTGTCTTTTTTAGGTATTTGATTGCTTTATCGTTCGATGTATCTGCATTGTATCTTATCGTTTCTTTCTATCTAGACCTCTTGTTTACCTATGCATCATCATCTCGCTTTCGCAAAGATGTGAAGCGTTGGAGAATATTCGCCGACGTGTCAGTGGATATTGGAATCACGCTCGAAGTGGCGGCAACATTGTTTCCGAAATCTTTGTTTCTGCCTTGCATTTGTCTCGGCAATATGTTCAAAGCTCTATGCGGGGTTGCGGCCGGAGCGRCCGGAGGATCGATCAACCTCCACTGGGCAAAAGGTTCAGATATCTCAGATATCAACGCGAAATTTGGTGCGCAGCACACCGTRACAGGGGCAATTGGTCTTGTATTTGCAGGCTTCTTTGCGAAATCGGTCAGCCGCGTTTCACCACAAATCTTCTGGCTGATGTACTTTCTTTTGACATATTTGCATTTATTCGCAAATATCAAGTGCATGCGATTGATATCATTTGACTACCTAAACACGATTCGCTTGGAAATGATTCTCCAAAACTATCAGACTTCAAAAGATCACAGTCTAGTCGATGGCAGAATATCAACCCCGCAAGATATTGCCAAGCGAGAACCTCTGTGGTTCCAAATCCCGGTGCTTCTCGGGGTTTTATCGTGGGGAAGGAAAACACCATCGATTCATTTTGGAGTGGCATATAATGAATTTTGCCAACGCTCGTGTAAGCCGATCGAATTACTTCGATCAGAAATGACTTCAGCCCAGCAAGAAAAGTATAAGAAAGGATCAAAGTCAAGGAAGGGGTCCACAACAAATACTGTATCAGATGGTTACATTATATCGATTGGGAACCAGAATCTTAGGTCATCTATCGATGGTGGGATGGCAAATCCTTGTGTGGTTGTTTCTCTTTTTGCAGATATTTCACCACAACAGCAGGTCAAGGCCTACTTTCATGCTTGGCTCCTTGCTGGAAAATTGCGCGASCGACTGGAAAAGAAAGATGATAATGTGGATCTTATCGACCTTACAAGCCGACTCGAAGTAGAAGAAGAAGCCAAACTGCAACTAGATTCTACATGGAGGACTTTCGTAGCAAAGTGTTCTGATACTGGTTGGGATCTGAGTGGATCCGAGCTTCAGACACATGGATACGAGGTAATGGTTGTGTGAAGTTGAACACAATACGAAAAATTCATGGGAGTAATGTTGAACTCTAGCTTGTCTGCAACGCAGCTTTTCCTTTTTCTGCAGTCTTTTGGATGTGGTTAAATTGTCCAAATAAATTGTTCACACGAACAGCATCTTCTTGATCCACTTGTTTTTGCTTGTTATTCAACAAGTGATAAAGAAGATGGTKAGAAAAATGATCCGGGTTCATACTAATGATTCGTTGCATGTTGCAGTGCTGATCGCCTCCGGCAAAAATCTGTTGAGAGTCCAACTACGAGTTAGGTTCAAAACAGACAAAGACAAAGAAGTTATTAGACCGGGACTTCTCAACAATAGACGGTGAAAAGAAACCGAATCAAGACGAACAGATACCCACCCAAAATTCGGCGCCATTGGGACCAAAATCATCATGACCTTGATCGTTATCCCCTATTCTACGGAAAGGAGGCAAAATACTTGATTTGCAAAGTTGATTGTGCATTCGTATTATTTGGATCTTGGTTGCCATCCAACCTCCTTGCTGTTGCCATAAATGATTGGGTACATCTAAAATCAAACAACATTTTTAGTAAAGTATCACAAATGAGATCATTTGATAGAACATTTGTGTGCGGGCGAAATCCTTACCAGTATCAGACTTCTCTTTTCCATTGAAAGCTCCCTTTTTACTCGACAAGAAGCTTCCGATTGTTTTATCTGTTGTTGGACCTCTTTTGGGCCCAGGCATGAGAACAACCCAATCCAAAAGATCCGATTCCGGAGGGAACTGCTGCAGCGAAAATAATTTTATATTGGTGTCCCAAGCAATTAAATCATCTGGATGTGGGCGTTCAAAACCTTTTGTATTTATGCTTTCATACTGTTTTGGATGACAACAAATTGTGGGATCGATATTCACCGCCCTACGACCACCTCCATCAAGATTGTTAAAATCATGGTCAGCGGGGATAGAGGAAGAATCCAATAGAATTCTTTTTTCTTCACCGCTGCAGCAAGCTTCGACCTGAATAAATCCTGGAACAAAATGYTCGATTTCTTGTTTTGTCAGGTCCGTATTAAATTTTGCWACCTCGTGGTTGACTTCACTGTCATCTTTCATTTTCTCCTCTTTTTGTGAGAGAGCCAGCAGGCGTTCTAATTCTGCTGAAAGCTGCAAATAGTGATGAACGTGCTCACCTCTCACTAACACATCGTCCTTGAAAGCAAGGAACAAGTCGTAGTAATCAAGTTTGTCCCGAATCACGAATCGATGTTGTCGTGCCAGCGCACGTTTGTATTCAATCATCGATCCCGTACTCTCCTCTCTTTCATACGCCAATGGAGTAGCGTTGTCCCAGAACTGAAAGCCTACGTTATTCGGAAGGTGCTTGCGAATTCTCTCTTCTCGTTCCGAAGTCAAAGGGAACCCACAAACTAGAAAAACGTCTACTTCAAGGTTGACCGAGGAAGTTCCGACCATGGACTCGACACCATCGATCATGACGGCTAAATGCTGATCAAAAAGCAGATCTTGGCCTTTTGTGCTTATATCGTCTCTCGCACCGTTGTCATCTAATGATGACGTGACTATGTACAAAACTTTTGTTGAATTGGAGTCGAGCAAAYTCTGTTCTGTAAATTTATTTTGTGCCTGTGAAATCGTCGAGCTGCTGTTGTGGTTGTTTCTGCTCATGATTATCAAGAAGGCACACAGAAGCACAATTTTCCAAGTTAACCAAAGCAATATGAACAGGAAACGGAGCCTTGGTGGAACCCGAAGTGCTAACTCTTGCGCTTTTCTCAATATCGGAAAACGCGACCGCAGTACGTTCCAATTGGAAAAAACAAGATTCTCAACAAATCCCTCAGATGTTGTTGGCGCCGAAGATCGCGACGGATGCATGTCATCCAATTTCTTGTACGYCGATGACTGCTCCGATCCTTTTCGAGAATTTTCTTGATACACGGGAGCGTTTAGAGTGGGAAGGGTACCGGGCTGTAATATTTTGCGACCATTGTAATCTTCTCCACGTTGTCGTCGCAAGACTGAGGGAGAATCTGATATACTTCCATTCATCCTACTAGCAGATTTTTTATTTTCAATGAATGATTGGATAGCGTCGTTGTTGTTTATGGCTTCATAGTGAAGAATCTGGTCGTCTCACTTTTGACCGACTTTTGAAGTGATCTTGATTTATTCCTGTTGTGGTCGACAACCGTCACAAGTTCTCGGAAGAGATTACTGTTGTGCGAGGGACATACCGAGATGACATTGTAGTACGGTAGAAAATTAGAGATTAGAGGAAAAAATACCGTAATTTTCGTCTTTCCTCTTCAGAAAACTAAACGGCTCTCAGCTTTCACTCTTTTCTCACGTGGAAAAATACCAATGCAGTAGTATGTATTATGCATACGTACGAACAACCTATCGTTACAGCACWACAGTACTAAATATACGTACCKGTACAATACTCGTGTGTTGCTACTACTAGTAAAGTGTTTGAAATGGATGTATTGTCTAGCACCAATTCTTTGTTTCCTATTCAACCTATGTCTATTAAGCAGTTTAAAGCAATAAAAATCACRGCTCCTATCTTACTAGATGCTGACCATGCAAAGATTAAAAGAGCAGTGAATCATTTATCCACGACCCTGTGTCAAACAATAGCTACTAATACTAGTAGTACTAGTAGGGTGGTATTTGAAGGTGCCAACACCCCCAGAGGAGGTTCTTACTAGTAGTAGTAGTATGGTGAGAGCAGCAAAATTTAGCACTGAAGAATCAGAAAATCCAACCCTACAGCAAAGGGTACATCACCAKTGGGAGAAGGAAAGCAATGCTCTCCTCCCTCCATCTGCCCAAGTAGGAAGTGATGACGACAACATATCTCTGTTGTCAGRGAACTCAGCAAGCACTGCTGCTTCTGGTGGTGTATTCCCTATTTTGAGTGGCAATTCTTCAAGTCATCCTTCCTCAAAGATTTTAAAGATGAAGAAACTTTCTGGATTGAAAYGCCCTCCACCTGTGCAGAAGGAGGTTTGCAAGAATACTCAGCAGCAGCTGCAAGTCATACTACTACGTACAAATGACAAAAAGATGGAAGAGGAGCCCAAGGCAGAGGCAAATGCTGAAGCAACAACAATGTTGTATGCCAAGCAACAGAACATTGAAGATGGTGTTGGCCTCAGTGCACAGAAGGTTGCAAAGTTTGTTGGTGATTCCTATGGAGTTACACTCAGTGCACGTACAATTTTGAGATACATCAAAGATGGAAAGGCAGGAAGAACACCAAAAAGGGGGGAATCCTGGTCCCAAACCAGGCTATTTGCATGAAGAATCAGTTCACCTTTTGGTCAKTGCCTTGGAGAGTTATATTTAACTCAGTCAAGCAAATACATAATGGTAAAAAAATTCAAGGTTTTTGCTTCTACAACAAACAATGAATCGAACAATTGCACCAGTTGTCAGCAGCAAGAATAGTGGTACTTGTTTTTTKACTCTTTTATGCTGTACTGATGCTGATTTGACAGCAGCAGTTTTGCCAAATGTTGAAGAGAGATGYGTCAGGTGGACTACCACCAGATCAAACTTTGAAATGTGGTTTTCAACTTGGCTTTCTGATTTGGCAGAACTTGGTTTTGCAACTGAGTGTGAGGATAGATCATTAGACATTCCTGAGTCTCAGCGTACAAGAAGGATTTTGAATCTTAATGAGAGTTGCCTATGCCTTGATAGTAGTGGTGGTAAAAGAGGTGGTAGACCACAGGTATATTTCAAYGACCCTAGGATTCCTCAAGTAGGTATTCAACCATCGAAGTCTAGTGTGACTGTAACATTAATTGCCGGTAGCGCTGCCACAGGTGAAACAACAATGCCTCCCCATTTTCAATTCCCAACCAGAGCAAAGCTTGAGGAGACACACAAACTCAGTTTGGAGATATTTCRTCACACAAAAAACACCTGTGGTGGTGTTTTTGGTAATTATAGAAAAAGTCATGTGTGACCTGTAACTGTGGGGTTAAACAAAAGAGSGGACATGGATGAGAAGGAGTTTGAAGCATTTCTGACTACCAGTGTKATTCCATTATTTCCTGATGTCTGAAATGTGCATGGGTGATGTGTGATCATCAAACTTGATTCTGGTCCACAAAGACTCAACAGTAGTTTACTTGCTGCTCTCAGACTTAGAGGTTTCATTCTATATCCAGCAGTCCCAAATACCACAGCTGTGATGCAAGAAACAGATTGAAGTTATAGTTTGTTCAAAAGCWTGTTCCAAAAGAATCTGTCAACTCACTGCTGATTGGATTGATTAGTACAACCAAAGTGTTTCATTCCCCCTTCAACTGTAGTAAGCCTCTTGGTTTTTGGTGGTACAGACGAGGTAACTGGTTGTGCTGAACTCACGAGATTGAATACCAAGGACATAAGTTGAAGGACACTGCTCTTGGAAGAAAGGAACAGAACAACAGAAAGATGCTCAAGGAGACAATTGTCAGACAGATGACTGATGCTGATAGAGAGAAGTTCCTCCAGGAATGTGCCCCAACTCCCTGGTGATCTGGTGATAGTTTGTTCAATTTTAGTATTTGGTCATCACCATTCTCCTCCACCACTTTTAACACAACTTCTCAACCAAAAGTCAGACAATAGCAAAACCAGTACATGGAGACCTTCTTTTGATAGTCCTCTTCCGATTGGTCAATTTCTTGGATTTGGCATAGCAGCTCTCCTTGTAGTCAAATCATGAGACACAAGTAGTATGATCATCTATCCCATAGTACAAATTTCTTACATTTTCACCCTATTTAGTATAACAAGTGTAGAAATAAGAGTTCTTTGAAACCAGGAACAATATTTGGCAACCTTACTACTAAGGAGTGTCTCCGCTTGTCTTAGAGTGCTTTGGTTGCGGAGGTATTGCAATCCCCATGGTCATGCTGAGTTGGATTTGTTTAGTGAGTGTAAATTATGACTTAATTTTTTGTGTAAAATTTGGTATGGTCTCTAGGGCTTACAGACAGAACTGTTGTTATAGTAGTAATTGTACCACACTTTACCTCCTGGACTCTCTTCTGTTGATAGTACAATATGGTATCATACGTACCACTTGAACTTCTTGTATTCATTTCCACGAGTTAGGGCATTGGTTGGCGTTATGTRCTAGAGCTTCTAAGTATGGGCCCCATAATGGCAAGTTATTGGCAATTCCCTTACAAACACTAATATAAAATTTTAGCTCATTTTTACCAGTAAAACCAGCGAAAAAAGGCATCCAACAGATGAAAATAAAAACATTTCCTCCATTGTTTAATTTCTCCTCGCTAGTCCCAAAATATTTCTAGTATTAGTGGTCCTTACTACTGGTGATATAAAATCAGTGCTTATTGTTACTTGAGAATTATTATTAGTGCTTACTACTGGATTACCTCCATTACTAGTACAGTAGTACTTACTAGTTCTTGGTGGCTACTAGTAGCAGCACCAACACCAGAAGAGGAACCCCTGGTGGTGGTGCCCTAGTACTACTAGTACTACTAGTAGTACTAGTACTACTACTAGTAGTAGTACCCAGCAGTTTGCAGTGCTGTTCACTACTACTACTACTACTAGTAGTAGTACTATGACATCCCAACTAGGAAGTAGTAATAGAGGTGATACAGTAGTAAGCACTAATATTAATTCTCAAGTAGTAAGCACTGATTTTATATCCCCAGTAGTAGTAAGGACCACCACAAACAGAAACATTTTTAGGACGGTAGTTTTTTGTGTGGGGGGGGGGGAGAGGGGAAATAAAGACGGGAAAATGAGAAAAAATTGACACAGGGGGAATTGCCAATAACTTGCCATTATGCGGCCCGTACTTCGTAGTTCTATTTCTTAAGTACTTGGTRCTGTTAGGACCTGCGTCCTGCCCGCGTTGCGTTGGTCACAAATAATAAGAATAAACTGTACGGTACAGTACAGTACTGTAATTACTGTACTACGAAGTATGATTTTTGTGTGGTTGCTGGTGACAAAAGGCCTTTCCGTCATTCGTGAATAATATCATTATCTCGCGCGAAAAACGGACCTTAAAAACAAATGTCTTTCTTTCATCTTTCGATGTGCGTCGAGTTTTATCCTTTTTTCCACTTTTACAGGAAGTTCTTCAATACAGTCATCAATTTGTCGCCTCGCCTCGCCTCGCACCTCATCTGAAATCCTTATTTCTTTCGCATGATACGCACTCGTGTTATAGTGTAAGAATTGAAAAAGCTGAGTGAAAACCTGAGGAAACCTGGTCATCGGAACAAAATCTAATTTCTAACGCGGAACCTTCTATATTTAAGAAGCAGCCGAGATCGAGGGAGGGTCGTATCATTATCATTATCACTATTGTACTTGTGCTTGGCATTTGACTAAAATGTCGGCATTCGAAGATAATGGAGTTGGAGAGGATCCCAGCTGGAAGCATCCTCATGCTTTCCACCTAAATCTCCCTCCCAATCATATACATGAGGATGGGATACCTTATATCACCAAATATGCGCATAAGAAATCAAGGTATATTCTGAAATTGGTCGAATCGTTGGTGCTCGCGGAAGAAATGTTTGTAAGCGAAGAGGGCAACGATGTTGCTTCTGGTATCGGAGCTAGTGAATACGCGCATGATGATCTCAGCATGAAAGATGGCGATGGCGAAGACCAAAAAGTAGACGACGAAGTTGAAATCGAGGAAGTGCCAATTGGTGCGAAGCCTAGGGATCTTTCAGCTTTCTTACGTTTGTGCTCTCGCCTTCAATCGCAAATGTCGTCACTGGAAAGCCTCAAATACTCTGGCTTGTCCCGCATCGAATTATCCAAAATTGTATTGCACATCCTCAGACTTGTGACGGCGACATACTCCGTTGAGACAACGGACGAACCRATGGAAAAACAAAAACGGTCTGCTACTATTTACTACGAAGATGTTGGATACATCTTATCATCCACTGATAAAGACTCAGAAGAGCACAGATCTGCTTGCATAGAGCTGGACTCGGACAGTCTGGAACGGGTGCTGCAAAGAAAATTCGCTATTCCTTTTCCGGGACGAAAAATACTTCTATCCTTGCTGGTGAACATTCTTTCGAACAAGGGTCCCCTTCGATCTGTTTCAAATGCGGCTATATTTCCTAGACTAAACGATGCCGATTCTCAAGACAAAGAGCAATCACAAGAGCAAGCGCGATTCTTATTGATCATTAGGTGGAGAACTTTATTGCGGATGTTGCTGCGAACCGCACCGTACTTGGACGAGTACAAGGTGGGCAACCACCCCACGGCGTCCAACTTGAGAGAGAATAGGGTAACTCGCCAAACCGTCCAGATGATTCGGGATGCAAGACATTTTTTCGATCAAGGATTGCGTCCTGGCCACACCGACTCGCAAATTTGCGACAACAAAAGTGCATGCGAAATATGGGAAATGGTAAAAAAGGACGTCATGTTTCACTCGCATACGAACGCTTGCTATCGATCACTAGTCATGCTGTACCTCTTCCATCCATCCCGTTGCACCAGCGAATATTACGCGGGAGTGATGCCCGTGTGGTTCGATGCGTGGACCAACATAGATAGATGTCCAGAGATCGATTTTTTATGGTTGGCTCTATTTACTCGAGCACGCAAACACTTGGGACCTTCGTTTGATTGGGGACCAATCCGGCGACGCCTCTTGACAAATAGCCAATATTGGTTGCAAGTTCCGATTGGAGGTGGCAGCTTAGATAAATCATTTCCAAACGTAGCGAATGCACGTTCGAGATCATGCCCATCTCGACTGAAAGCCTTTGCCGGGGCAAGTTCATCCTACGAAGAGGGCATCGATTTTGTGGCCAAGGTAGCCAAATTATTGGTGAATGGATTGGGGTTGGGGGAAAAGATTGGTGGTATATCCGARGGGACCAAAGATGTTTTGCGATTTTTGAACTTTGTGACTCCCTATTTTCATCCTAGTAATCTTGGTTCCTGGACATTCACTTTGGGCGCTTTCCTTCATTACTTCTCGTACGAAGTAAGCTGTCGTATGGGATTAGCTGCTAGCATGAATTCAATCAAAGAAAACCGTCCGGAGTTGGCAAAGGCTCTCTCTGAGGTTGAGCCGAGTCTAACTGTTGCTGATCTACCACCCCACGAGGTCGTRGTATTGATCGATTCTCTCCTTCCTCTTTGTCAGCAGTCATTATACAGTAAAAATGCTCATGTTGGCCGTGCTGGTGAGGCTGCCATGGTCTACCTTGCACAAATCGATCCATTGCGCGTCACGCCCGTCTTCATTGACTTTGCGATGCGTGCCTTGGGTATATCTGCTGTCAACCTTGCTCATCAAGCTCCGGCTGCTTTATCTGCACTTACGAGACTACTGCAACCGTCATTGAGACGCGACCCAAACATTTTATTGGTACGACTCCCCGAATTACTGAGACTTACTCTCGCTGGTATCGATAGCAACGACCAGAACAAGACTATTCGAACATTAATTCTTTATCGGTCTCTGACGTCATGGATACCTRTAGGAGGCACTCCAGACGACTGGAAGCATCTGACCGAAAACAATGGAAGTGAACCGGACGACAGATGTGATGGAACGGTAGTTACAGGCCAAGATTTACACGGGCATCTATACAAGCCTACGGAATCCTCGTCTTACCTTGAAACAATAGAAAAGCTACCAGAAACTTCCTTGTTGAAGCAGGGTTCTTACAGAGAGGAGTTTGATTTTGATTTACTTCTCCAAGAAGCTTCGTCAGCTTTGAGCGACTGGGTACTTGAATTCTTTGACAGAATTTATGATACACTACGAGCAACTGGCGAACGGGAGAAGGTAGGAAACACTGCTTCAGGGGTTGCCTCGAGGCACTCATCCGCGGACGTCCAAGTCGCAAGAAATTTCTCAAGAGTTCTAAAGGAATGCCTCACACAGACATTTGCTGCAATGGACGAAGCGGTCCACAAACTAGCCGTCAATTCAGTGAAGAGATTTCTCTCAGAAGAAACATTGCCAAATGCAGCCAAGGACTCATCTTTTCTTTGTCTTGCTGCGTGCTCTGCCCGGRYTAAGGACGGGCATGTGACGAGCCCCGGTTTGAATGCACTGGTCCCCATACTGATGGACGAATTGGAACATCATTCAAACAAAACTGTCGTATATCGATTGAGATGTTTAGCAGGCGCTGTTAGATCATGTGGTGTTGCCATAATCAAGCACAAAAATGACATAAAGACGGCAATAAATTTTGCTCTAGAAAGCAAGGACAAACATGTATTCAAAACTGGTTGCAAACTGTTGCGGCATACTTTGTCGACTCTCTGCGAATCATACTATTTGACGACTGGGCTGGTGCCTCGAATAGCGGAGCAAAAAGGCAAGATTGTATTTGGCAAGTCTGCACAGTTACACGATGATCCTGTAGAGTGGCACGTTCCTAGCGGTGATTGCATTCAGTTTGCTTGGGAACTACTGAATCACAACGTTCTTGAAAGAATWCAAAGAATATCACCATCCGATGATACAAAAGAAAGCGTTGACAGCTTCGAGCTCCGCAGGTGTCTTCGTGTTCTTCGTTATGCTTTACGTGGAGGTGCTGGTGCCATGTTAGATTTTCAGAATGATGACTGCGATGACTCGTCAGATAAGATGGACGTCGATTCCACGGATAAAAATGGTGACGTCAATCTTTTTCCATATGAACAAGCGATGATAAATTTACTGAAAACTGCTCCAAAGGAAACATACGAGTCAATGATGACAATGCGTTGCAGAGTGTCTTYGTTCACAGTGACCCTGATGAATGTCATTGCATCAGAATCTTTCAAGGTTGACGAAGCTCCTCAAACAATAGATTCAAGAGATGGAACCAGTTCCGTTCTAGAAAAAAAATATATTGCTTCTGTAAGCTCTGACCCTAAGATCTGTAAGGAAGTATGCGATATCGCACTCCTTTTACTAACTCGAAGAGGCGCTGCTTTTCGATCRCAAGAAAGCAAAAATATCTGGAAGGCTCACAAGCAAACAGTCACAGATTTTGCTATTCTCGCAGAGGCAGACCATATGGAAGAGTCGTTGCAAAGAGCTCAGATGTATGGAAGCAATCGGCTTGTTTTATTTAAAGATGGAGAAGATTCAGGCAAAACATTGCCTCGGCGACTTCTTGTTGGACGCATCCAACTATTCCACGATTCTCTACAACGGACTGCTAGTTTTGAAGTGCCGAGACGCATGCGCCGTCTGTCGATGCTGCAAAAGCGTCAGAAGAAAGTTATTTTCTGCAAAGATACTAATGTGAGTGAATTATGCAAATCCATGGAAAATATAAAGACGGCAGATCCACCATTTGCCTTCGATATTTATGAGGGTGTATTTGATGGGCTTTTTGCCCTTACCTGCCATTCGAACAAACAAGTCCGAGCTTCTGCCATTGGTGTAGTTGACTACGCTATAACGAGATTCGGCTGGCTTCTTCGAGTCAGAATCCCACGATTATTATCAGCAATCAGGTTACAAGATGATGGCATGCATGGGAAGTTTGGAATTCCCTCTTGTTCATCTTTGAAGATTGCAATTGATAGTCAAGGGCGACGAAAGCGCCTTGCCGAAACCATGAAAGGCGTATGTTCAATGCTGGCAATTCCCCGAGCAAGCAAGGAAATACTAAGCACCGAGAAGTTTCGACGTGACTTTATTTTTACGATGTGTGGAAATGAAGATCTTGTATCTTTGATGCCTGCAGAAGAAATGCAGAAAATGGTACATTATTTGCAGTCTATTTTCAGTCCGATACGGCTAGGATTTTACTGCGTACCTCGTGCATCAAATTCTGACAAAAAGTTTCATGAAGATAGCTTGACATTTTTGCTTGATGTACTGTCGAMCGACGAAAAGGACGTTGCTTCAAATGAGGAAGATGGAGATGCAAAAGATGCTCATTGGAGGAAGCTCCTGTTGGCGTGTTGGTTTCTCACAGTCATGGTTGACAGTGATGATCTTCTGAAAGATAGTGCTATTGCTACAAGACTGTGGAAGCTTTGCTTTCAGATCCTGAAAGATGAGTATGGACAACCACTCCAACGCGTCGCTCTTGGTCTTTTTGGAAGACTCGTCATGATTATAAGAAAAGGTCCATCATTCGAGCTTCTTCGTCAAGAGTTTCTYAAGGAAAACTTTTGTATCATTTTTGGGAAAGCACTTGTTTACGATCACAAAGAAGACTCTAGTGTGGGGGGTGGTCATGGGGCACAGTGGGCAACTGGTGTCGCAGATATAATTCGTGACTCGGCTCGAAATATTGCTCCAAAATCTCTATTTCCTTTCCAGCGGACGAATCAAAGCTCCGGCACATTCAAAGTATCCCATGCAAAACTAGTCGAAGAAATCCTCACTGGTCTAGGCGAAACAGATGCCACAACCGTTTCACGGTACCTTTTGTCTTTCTCTAAAGATATGGCATTATCTCCTCCTAGCGAAGATCAGCGGAACCAGCAGTGTACCTCTGCAGAGATTTTTGCAGGAGTAACGCGTGCTCTTTTGCAAATGATGGACGGTCAGACTCTAACAGATATCTGGATGTCAGACCTAATCCCATTCCTTGCTGAATCAATACCCAAGTTCCCGATTTCACTATCTGGTGCCTATTTTGATTCGATTCGGTTCGGTATACAATTTTCACCTCCCGATAAATTTTACCCTTTGACTCAGTGGTTATTTGAGAAAATTGAGGAAACTTTATGGCAACCAAAGACTGAAAAGGTGATTGCAGATAGTTCTAGCTCCGACTCAAAGGAGCYCGAGGATGACGGAAAAAATGGTGCTTCACAAGGTACTGAAGGGTTTACGACGCAATCAAAATGGCTATATTTATGTTGCGCCTTACTCATTGAACTTGATGAAACAGAGCTAGATTCTACTACGTTTAGAACTCGATGGTACACGAACGGTCTGACGAAACTGGATATGACCAGAAACACCGTGACTTCTACAGATGAAAGTCTGAAGAAATCTTGGAAATTAGTGAGCGAAAGATTGCTTCCCAGACTTATTGAAGCACTTGGACATCCATACGAGAGTTGTCGAGATCATATTTCGGGATGCCTTTTTAGAATTTGTTACTGTCACCGCAAGATGTCAATTGGAACAGCATCTAACGGACCCAGCAGAACCAATAGTGCTATTGACTTGTCGAGCCTCGATAAGAACGACCCCGGATCGGTCATTGTTCAGAAGCTTCTATCTCTACAAAGCACCGCAGAGACATCTTTTGAAAATCGATACAGCTCTCTCATTACAGCTCGCCGTTTTTTCTCCTATTGCGTTCATTATGGTGAAGCAAAATACGAATACTCTGATTACATGATACCTCTACTACCTCTTGCTTTCGAAGCCCTGAAGTCAACTGTAGAAGAAGGGACTGAGGTTTCTGAACCTGATACAGTGACAAAACGGGCGCTCGAAGCTGAAGTTGTGAAAGGATATCGTCGCACGCTTGCCGAAGTCAGTATCGCATCAGTGATTTCATATAGTGGTAGGAAGGGAGACACCGATATCTCGCGAGTTTTGGATACAGCCGAAAATGCAGCGCAACATGAGACGTGGCAAGTTCGTCACGCTTCTGCCCACTTTTTGAGATGTTTCCAAGGAAGCCACAAATTTCTTTTCACGAAGTCACAAGCAGACAGGATAACAAAAATTGTTATTGGATTACTCGGCGACGATAGACGTGAAGTATCTTCAGCGGCGATGGCTGCCGTAACGGGTATAATTGCTGCTATGCAATCCGAAACGGTAACTATTCTCGTAGACAAGTATATTTCAGAGGCCAATCGATCGAAGCTGAAAAGCAAAAAGTCATCTAAGAAAGTCGAAGGTGATCAAGTTGTTAAAATGYCAGATGTCGAAGAAGCCAAGGCAAAGGAACAAAAACGAGCAAAGAGACAACAGTCATCTGTCTTCTTTTTGTGCGCTACTGTATTRTCGCAGCCTTATGACACGCCTCCCTTTGTTCCCAAGGCACTTGCTGCTATTTCAAAGCATTCCTTTAAACGAAATGCGCCTCTCGGAATTCGTGATACCGTAAAGAAATGCTGCGCCGAGTACAAAAAGACTCACATGTCGGATAACTGGGAAGTTCATCGCAGTGTATTTACCCAAGAGGAACTCGAAGCCTTAGAAGATGTCATCAGCTCGCCTCATTACTATGCTTAAACAAATGTCAAACGATTGCTACCGGCTAGCAACGAAGAAAAATAAATTCACCCATTAAACTATTGAATACTATCACGCGCACACTCGGGCTTTTGATGTAGCGATCACATTAATCTCGTCTCGACAGCACTAATTGGAGTAACAGCCGTGCACTGACTCGTTTCATTGATTACTTCCAATATAGGAATGCTTGTGCTCACTCTCATTTTATCCTSCCTCTGGTAGTCGAATTGGATGATAGGGTAACCAAATGTCTCAACATTCTCGCACATAATCTTGAAGCTATCTAAAAACGCAAGCGTTGCAGGGTAAGAAAATTCGATATCAAGCCCTGTAATATCGTGCATGGTGTTACAACGATAAAGTACAAATAGTGTGAGCAAGATTAGACTCAAAACGTCTATGCACCAGAGTCGATTGTATGTAACATACCTAGTTCTTCAGGGGTGTATTCTCTCAAKAGTGTTCGCCAATGTCTGGCTAAAGTTGCAATCATCGTTCTCCTCTTCTTAGTACTTTCAAACTTAAGAATCCATCCGCTGTAGGTCTTTATAGCAAAAGTAAAGGAAAATARAAGATCGAATCTTTGATCTCCTGCWTCTTCCGAAAGTTCCGAGTATCGACGGTGAAATCCTTCAAAATGTCGAATGACATCAGTAGATTCGTTGAAAATGTGCTCTTGGTGGTTTGCTGTTTTGTAGAAATCCAAGTACGATACAAGGATCTCTTCTCGTCTACGTGGAAGAATCATGATCCGAAGACGATCCACTTGTTCTTGCGARAGCTCCGCAGCACAGACATAGTCACCTATGTAGTCGTATTCTACATCACCAGGTTCAAAGATTTCACGAATATACATTACTGCTGTTCCATCTCCGTAGCCATCGCGCCGTGTCACCTGGTCGAGCGCATCAAGYTTCACTTCGAACGGAGACATCTTTGAGGTTTTGTTCCAAATTTTGCTGGTGGTTTTTTGAAAATATTGTTTAATGGCTTTCTTTGGATTCAGTGACATTACTTGTCTCGATGAGGAATCGTTTGGCAACCCTCTCATCAACACGTATTCGATATTGTATTTGGAAGAAGGAAGGTCCACCCAAGTTGTTTTCTTCATTTTCGAAGCTGATGGGATTGACTTTTATATAATTGTATTTCGAGACAAGTGTCAACAATAATGAATGAGAATCCCTCAAACAGATGAATTTGCGCACCAATGTGGCCGTGAAACAATGAACCTTTTTCTTAGACGGCCCCACCATTTGAACATTTGAAAAGCTACTGGTCATACTTAGGCTGCATAGTAAAACCTGAAAATGTTAATTGAAGTTTTTAYCGTGTTAAGAATAGGCTATGGTTTGAAAAGGGGAAGAGAGGTCACATTCAAAACCAAAATCTCTTTGCAATCGCCGAGACCATACTACGACAATGCTTTGACATTCACTATTTAGGTACCAAGGTGCACAGAATAACAATATCTATTATTTGATCCACTAGTTACGAGGTGGTCGCGACCCACAGTTATTATSGCAGAAGGTCTTGCTCRCTTCTCGTAGCAATGAAGTCGCATTTTTTAAAAAAGGAASTCAATCCGTTCRTCGTAGCGTGTGCCATCAAATCACAACGGCTGTTGGCATWTCGCTGGTTACGGTATGAACGCGCTGGCTCGGTTCACGAAGACCTATCTCGGCATCCCGGGCCGCTGCACATGRTTCCCACGAAATATTCCTTGTGCACAATAAATATTACTTGTACMATACTGTAAGGATACGCAGCTGCACACACAACTAGGAGAATTGGATGGATATGATTATCTATTGAGAACCGACTCGGATTTTCAGCGGGAAGCAACRGTTTTGAATCGTGGGTTCGGCATTTACTGTARCGACGGGCGCATCGTATCGCGGTCTTTTTTTTCCTACGGGGGACAAGAAATGATTCAATTCATTCACCAGCTTGTTCTTCGGTGAATTCATTATTACTGTAAATATTATTCAAAATAGTGCAAGCAGGAAWAGTTGACTGGCTGCCCTATGTTTCCTCACGTGAGACAAAGCCGCAATGCCGATGGCGCCCCTCYCCAAAAGTGGAAGCTTGAGTCCATTTCAAAACCCACGCAAGGGATGGGGTGGAGAGCAGCGGTCCCACCAGTGGCRGCCAGCAACTGGACCACTCCAAGTCGCCAAGCGATCAACGATGCGACGCCCACGAGGACGGGGATGACCGAAGCGAGMATTCTTCCGAGTTTGGTGCAGCTGCTGTTGCCATTGGCGGGACTCCCGCTGCTCTTGATGTCACCGTTGTGGCACGAGTAGTAGTTCCTGTTACTATAGTGGATAGAAATAATAGACACGGCTAGAGATTGCCAGCAGGCAACGAGAAGCGATCCGAGAGCCCGCGTCATCTTKGAGTTTTCCCAGACGAGGACCAAAACGGATAGCAACTGTGCCGATGTCGGCAGGAGCAACGCCAAATAAATTTGATAAGCTAGGCTGTGCGATGTTCGCGGTGGACCTAACAGTCYTTCGAGCTTACTCTGCTGCAGTTTTTGCTTTTTGGCCGTTGCTTTTGTTGATCGTCTCTGTTCATTGTCGTCTTCGTTATAATCTRATGTCGATGTCACCGCCGATAGTAGCTTTAGGCATCCATAAATAGCCAACCATTGCACAACTATGTCCAAGATGGATGTCACCAAAAAGATTCCATACAGCAGTGCAGGAAACGAAAACTCCTCGTCGATCCAAGAATCACCAGTTTCGTTAGCATTGTATTGATATTGTTGAATGAGTACCGGATGATCGTGGACAAGAGTCTGCCGTTTCAGATAGGCGTGAAAAAGACCCGATGCCAAGGTCCCTTGGATCAGGCCCTGGACGATCACCCCTGGAACAGTCCCTCGTCTCGCATCACCCGTCCCTCCACCTTTCTCCCCCCCCTCCTTTTCCCGAGCCCCGTGCCACGACAATTCTTTGTTGTTGTAAAGTAMGTGTCGCCACGCCTCCGRCCGCAACAGGATGCAGTCGATAACCACCAGCAACCACTCGCGCTCTATGTACGGGTCAACGATTCGCTGGCATTTTTCGCAGTGCATCGCTTTGATGGACGAAAGGGAGCTGGTCAGTTGCCGGTACAGAGCCGAACACGGCGTTCCACAGTACACACAGACGTACGGGCAATGCGGATAGGCACGATATCGAGTACTAGCAGCAACCGTAGCATCGGTTTCGTCGTTGTTGTTGGCGCCGCCGTCGCCGTCATCGTCGTCGTCGTCTCTTACGATGCCGTTGCCGTTGTTGGATTCGTTGCCATAGTGAGTTCTCTTTTTCGACAGTTCCTCTTCCCGGCGTTTGGCCCTGGTCTTCATRGTAGAATTTTGCAGGTAGGGTGCGGAGAGTACGTACACCACCGCACGGATTGATTTCCCTTCGTTCGGTAGATGTGATGGTTGGTCTCTCCTTCCAAATACAGATCGCTGCACCTAGTTCTGCGTATCAGTGCAATCAAAGCGCGACACTAAGGTACGGCGGCCTAGATTGTGAAAAGGACGTCAAAGCCATTTAACCGGTTCGAGTGAGGCATTCTGATACGGTACGGTACATCCTGAATTCATGTCACAAAAGCAAGGTAAGAGGTGCCTCTTCGTACCCATAGCCATGCTACCGTACGTAAGATAAGATAATCACCTACATACCCCAAGAAATTTAGTCACGAATGATTGTTTTCTACGATACGACAAATCGCCTTCTCGCGGAACGTGTCGCGGAACGAGTTTTGAGAATCCAAATTCCATTCCARTATGGTAGGTACGAGTTACTSGTACCCCTCGATGATCAACAACAGCAACCATGTCGATCGACCGAACGGACAAATAAAATAAAACAGAACAATACCAACTCACAGAATTCCAATCTGCACGCCAAACCAAAGACACAACGCACGAGATACCCGAGACCAGAATGGGCAGCTGGGAGGATATCATCTTTGAGTACGTATGTCCCGTGGGAGGCTGCCTACTGGCGTCCTCGGTCTTTGCGGCCCCCATCCGGGATCTGAACGGGGCCCTCCGCAGGGGTTCGCTCGGGAGCCTGAACACAGTTCCCTGGGCTGTCATGACTGGAAACTGCCTCGGGTGGTGTGCCTATGCCTACTACACGGCGGATCCGTTCGTTCTGGCTTCGAACCTCCCGGGATTGATCCTTTCGCTCTGGCTCAACATTGGTGCCTGCAAGCTCCAGTACCTAGCACAGATCGATTTCCACGGTCGTTCGAGCAKCGGACGKAACGACACCAGGGACGAAACCCTGCTCTCCCAAAAGGAAGGAATATTTGATTTCCCGACGTCGTCTCAACAAGACGTTTTATTGTTGCGAATCATTAGCCTCTGGGCGGTGGTTCTGGTGTGTGTCGGGTGGCTGGACGGCCTGTTCCGTCATCCCCTRCTGCTCTACGACCCGCACACCGTGGTTGGCCTCCTGGTCAACATCAACCTCGTCTTTTTCTACGGGGCGCCGCTGCAGACCATGAAGACCGTCCTGGAATCGAGGTCCTCCGACACGATCCACACGCCAACCGTCACCATGAACGTGATCAATGCTCTGTTTTGGATGTCCTACGGCTTTGCCCGGAACGACGCGATCATATACGGACCCAATGGCGTGGGGCTGCTGTTGGGCATTGCCCAGTGCGTTTTGTGCTGTGCGTACCCAAAACGGGGATCGCTAATGCCGGGAGACCAAGAAGTCGTGGAGTTTGAAATAGTACCTCCCTGCMCAGAGGACCACGATCTTTCGTTGCGGGAACATGATGGGAGAAGAATAATATGATGCGGGGCCATAGCAAGTTGGTCGATCGAATTAATTTTTWGAGAATTGGTTTCGAGATAATATTAGCTATTATTTTACAGTAAAATTAAAACAGACTACAATTCTATTGGCACATACATCGGAATACACGTCTTAAAGAGCGTAATAGCGACACRCCCTAAGTGTCGGAATAATCATTCCCCCCWTGCCATCATTCTTGTTCCTTGACACGCGTTTGGTTTTTGCGTTTCTTATCTACCAAGAATTCCCTGGCCCTCGCAATGCCGGCGTCCTTTGCCGCCTTGGCTTTTTTCATGCTTTCCACCTTCTTCTCGTCGAGAGTKGCCTTCGCTTTCGCAATACTTGCTTCTTTCTTTTCTTCGAGAATAGCCTTTGCTTTTGCAAGATTTTCYTCTTTCTTTTCGTCGAGAGCAGCGATCGCTTTCGCAATSCTTTCGTCCTTCTTTTCTTCGATGGCGCTCGCCAATATTTTTCGCCGTTCTCTCCAGTCGTCCGTGCTTAATTTTTTMACGTTTGCAGCAGCGGCATCAATTTCCTCCAACATATCCAGTATGTCCAAGTCGGGCTCAGTGACAACGGCTCTCTTCCTTAAATCCGATCCACTCATGTTGCTTTTGATCGGATTGCCGRATTTCTTATCGTTTTCAAGCAAATCCACCCACAGTTCTTTGACTGCGTCGGTACTCGAATCCAAATTCTTTACCSATAGGACACGGTCATCGGTTTTCGAAAAAGATAATATATTTAGATCTTGTAGATCTTGCAGTGCTCGCTTCACGTCAATCTGCACCTCTTTGTCGTCTCTAAGGAGTCGGTTGACTTGGGTTTCGCAATTCTGTTCCAAAAATGATATCGTGAGTTTCGATCTTTTTGTCTGGTATTGCTGAAGTACCCATTGGTGAACCAAGGCTGCACGAATCGCTCTTTGGGATGCTGCCTCGTACGTGAGGTAATCGACTGCCCCGCTGTTGCGTTGAGATATCTTAGAAGTAAGAAACGTCTTCACTAGCAGATCATATCGTGCCAGTTTATTGGAGTACCGAAAGACCGTTCGAAGCAACCACAGTGTAACGGACACCAACGCTAGCAAATCRAGTCGGGCATTTTCGAACCTAATTGAACTCAAAACAATGGCAAGGGTAGCCAAACTTATGGTATCGAATAAAAATGCATCGGCCGGCCTAAAGACCAATTTCGACTTCGGCAAAACTGCTTGAAGATTCGACATGGGGACTTGCTCAAACAAACGAACTTCAAGATCACCCGATTGAGGCCCGGATTTGTCTTCCTCCGGTTGTTCGAATCCTTCGATATCAAACATATCAGCAAATTCGCTCACAACCTTTGGAGGAGCAATTTTCTTTTTCGACTTCATGGTAGGTCTCCAAACAACAACAACTTCTTCGTAAGTTGGTTCAACTAGTTCTGATCTGGCAAAAATTGTGTTCAAAAGACCCCGTCTCCCTACTTTGTTGAAGACATCAATGAGACTACCAATGCTGACGCGTTCCAGCAATTGCATCCGCGGCAGCTTCCCGTCTTTTTGCGCCGATGCCTTTCCATCGTATGCACATGTGACGGCATTACTATCGTACGCATCCAAGTTTGACATGGTCCCGTTAAGACTCATTGTCGAATTTATCGGACCACCATACACAGTATTATTYATGCTCATTGATGATGCCATTGTGCTATTGTACATGGTGCCGTTGAGGCCCATTGATGAATTCATTGCGTTCCCTTCTTGGCCGTTATAGTCGATCTCACACAATATGAAAGGGCCCAGAGCATCCAATGGATCAGGAGGTTCTACAGACATGGTTTTTGAACCGCCGTACCGGCTCATGACTCTCTTTCCTGTGTTAGACCTACTCTCTTGTCCACTGAAATCCATATCAGTGGCCATCGATACTTGACTGTCTTGCATTGTCTCATCCGAGACCATGCTTTCTATCCATTGTTTAAATTGWGGAATCTGTAGTTTGCTGCTAATCTTCATCAGTCTTGTTTGAAACGTTCGTCGCAGCTGGCGACTTTTAGTGCGGACAGTTCGAAAAATACTGGATTCGAACCGATCAAGCGTGTTCATTACCCAGGCTGCAGCTCGTTTAACCAAGTTTGCCTGCAGGTAATTGAGTTTGGGGAGGAGTAACCGCCCTTTGGTTACCTCTTGTGAATATCCTCTCCAATATACCAGGACGCGACCATCAAAAAGCATRTCATCAATGCCTGCCTTTAGAGTACCATTGCTGTGGAAATTTTCGGGATAGAATTCTTTGGATATTATCGGATCCAATTCTCTTACATCAGGCAGCAGGGACAATCTGAGCAAGTACCCAGCATTCAGGCATTCGCAGAGGTCAATATCGCGCTGTGAAAGCAGCTCAAAACCAGAGTCTTCCAAAGATTGTCGTAGTGCAGGAGGTTTTCGTTCGTCACCGTCGTCGGTTTGAGTTTCTTCCTCGACTATGATCCTACCTCGAACCTGCTTAGTAGACTTTTTCCCTTCAATCAGTTCACGTTCGTGTGCTTGAAGTGGAGAGAGATCTTGTTCCACTTTTCTAGCTTTGGCATGGTAGTAAGTATCTAATTTGTCAAGCAAATAAGGACTTTGAGAAACATTCTGCGGTAATATGGAAGGGTCGGTCGGTATACAGCTTCCGGATCGTGTGACAATGCGGCATCGTGGAGTCAACTCAAGGAATGAATCGTCRTCGTCTTCATTGTCCATATCAGTTGTTCCTGAACTGACACCTAATGGTGTCTCAACGATTGATGTGGACTTTTTAAGAAGCTGGGSTTTTTTGTACCGGAAGTGCAGTGACGACGTTGTTGATAGCCTCTGTATCGCCAATCCATCAGGACTAAGTGACTGCSGTAYGAGAAAAGGCAAAGTCCCATGTAGAAGGGCTAGCAGCACAAGCAGTGCTATCCAATATCTGTTYGGTCGTTTCATTGTTGCTATCGATCCTTGTGAGGCAGTGTTGTATCGACAATGACTATTTCCATTGGGTGTTCCTATCTTTTTCGTCTTTCGGTTTGTGCCAGGTCTTTGAGTTGAATCGAAGAGAGAGGATGGAGCATCTTTTCGTGCAGATGACGTGATTTTCATTACAGTAATCTTTCACTCTTACCAAAATGTGATGCGTAAGWGAGATGACAGCTGTCATGTACTGCTAAAACTAAAAGTAACGGAACGGTTCGCCCCTCTTTGCCGAATCGCCCTCCCGTCTAACGTCTTTTTCAACATTCAAAGTGTTCTCACATACCTATAATAGCTATGTTGAATACCTTCGTGCTTACGATTACGATTACGACTAGTAGTACTAGTAGTAGTCTAGTACTACTAGTACTGCCACTATAGCAGTGGTGGTGGTGCAAGCTTAGTTGTACTACTACTACTAGTAGTAGTTCAAGTAGTATTCACTACATATAACAATGATCAAAATACTAGTAGAAACCTAGTACTATCTTGAATTGCACAGTGCTACTACTACTACTA